AAGCTGTTCGGCATGAGTGAAATGTTTGAAAACGCTAGAGTGGCACACTCTAGCAGCTGAACATTCCGTCCATAGACTTCCATTATAAATTTGAAAATCTGTAAAAAATGTTTAAAAGTTTGAAGCTTCACTGAAGCAAAACTGTAAAAGTTTGCTGAAAGCCGAGTTAAACAGTAATAGCAGAAAGATACGGAAACATTTTAAAAGTTGAATGGTGTTTCTAGCTGAAAGTATGCTGAAGTAGTTAAAGGGCAAAGTAGCTGATGATTTAGTGGAATTTTTGAAGTTTTACATGTATTTCAATGGGACAAAAAAAGTCATAAAAAGCTAAATATTTATAAAACTATAATAGCTGAAGTTACCAAAAGATACAGCAGGATGGACCAGAAGAAGCTGAACGTTTTGATACCAAATTTGTTGAAATCGGATGAAGTATGGAGAACGAGTTAGAGACGGAAAAACGTACGGAAAGTATAATAATAATAACTAGAAAAAGCTGTTTCGGAGAAACATCAAAGTGGGAATGCTTTTGCTGAATGAAAAAAGCTGAAATTACCTGCAGAACATATGAAAATGTGATAGGAAGTCATCAGAAACCTCAAACTGCAGAAAACAATTGAATCATCTGAAGATTTTGTAGGGTAGAATCATTTGGCAGTAAAATGGCAGAAACAAACTCATCTTAAAAGCTGCACAGCCAAACCATACATGATATCAAAAAATGTCTTGAATGTGGGCACTAGAAGGGTCTTAATATAATGTCTCACAAGTTTCTAGAAAAATGTATAAAGAAATTTTGAAGGGGGGTTTACCTACTTTCCAGAAACATGTCAGGCGTGTTATGAATTAGCAGCAAACAGAAAAGCTTAATTCCTGTCCAGAAACAGAGCAGAATGAAGCCAAAGTTCACAACATAGGCTGAAAAGTATGAAATTAGCTGAAGTAGAAAAGAAATTACAAAGAAAAACTTTAATCTTATCTGGTTGAAGAAAAAATTAGTAGCTTAAGGATGGGAAGTAAAATGTTGAGGACAATGGTAATGAATAAGTCTTAACATTTTGAAATCATATGTGGAAATGTCAAGACTTGGCAAAACCATTGGAAAATTATTTAAAATGTGTCGGTTGATGAGCATAAAGAAAACAGTGTCATCCTTAGAGGATTGAAAATCTACAAACCTATGTGCAAGACTGACCATGAGAAGCAGAGGAAGGACAGAGAGAGAAGCTTATAGAAAGAGAGCTAATACCACTTAAGGAGCTCAATTTATAAAAAAATTGAACCTGCATGTTACGAGCCGCTGTGGTAATGAAAGCACCATTGGCTGGCTTAGGCTGCATGTTACAAGGTTAGCAGATGCTTTATTACAGTATAAATCTTAGAACCTGATTAAGAAATATGCACTAAGGTGTGTGGTCCACAGGCCTTGGTAGTGTAATTTGAAGAAATTGGTTGAGTTTGGGTCATAGCTACGAGCCATACGGCACAATGAATGAGTGTATGTAAGAAAGAGGCTTTTATTTTGTAGAGTCCCTTTAGTCTTATTTTGAAAGTCTATCATGGATGTGTGTCAAGGGAAGGGTCATGCCCAGCAGTTATATAGAATCCATTTCTAAATATGAAATCACTGGTTTTCCATGTTATTGGGTGAATAGATGCTGTATTAGAGCGTAAATGGGAGACTTTTATTGTGAAATTCACTCCGGGGAATGTTTTGAAAAGGTCCCTAGAGTCTAATAGAAACAAACTGGTAGAGTTTGGGTCATAATGCTGATCCATTTGCATCAATTAATACGCGTGTATAATATAGAGGCTTTTATTTTGTAGGGTCACTGGAGTCTTATTTTGAAAGTCTAGTAGGGTTGTGTGTTGAGAAAAGGGTCAGACCCAGCAGTGATACTTGATGACTTTCCAATCATTAAATCACTCTTTCCCCTGTTATTAGGGCAGTAGATGAAGTGGCAATGGGAGGCTTTTATTTTGAAATTTGCTGTGGGGTGTGTTTTTAAAAACCCCTAGAGTCTCATTTTTAAAAAAGTGGTTGAGTTTGGGTCATAATGTTGAGCCATATGCTGGGGGAAAAAAATATGAATTTAATGTAGGGGCTTTTATTTTGAAGGGTCCATGGAGTCTTATTTTGAAAGTCTAGCAGGGTTGTGTGTGAAGGGAAGGGTCATGGCCAGTAGTCATATTGTATCCACTTCCTAATGTTAAATCAGTGTTGTCTCCCTCCATTAGATTAATATGTGCTGTTTAAAGTGGTGGAGGTAAAATCTCTTTGAAGCACGGTTACCTTGACGATGTTAACGAGCCTGTCAGTGACAGAGAGACATGCGCTTCACTTTCGATCCTTAGTTCTCAGGCTTTTTTGAATGGGATTATCAGCTCCGAACAAACGAGTGCTGAAGACAAACCGTAAATGGTATCTAAAAAATTCTTTCAGTCTAAGCGAGAGCTATCCTTTGTCTCCGATTGGGGTAACTTTCATGGATGTAGCTCATTCACAACCTTAATGGGAAGGAGGAATAAAAAGGTTTGAGAAATCCTGCTGGTCTCATTGAATAACATGCAGCACAACGGTAGAGCAGAACTCTCAAAAGCAAAACTTTCCCTCCGAACAAACGAGCGGTGAGCCAAAACCGTATTAGGTATTCAAAAAATTCTTTCACCGTGAGCGTCAGCCATCTTTGGACTACAACTGGTGTAACTTTCATATTTCTACAATATTTCGTCTAGGCGTGGTGACGATGTAAAAAAGTGTATAATTGTCAAAATCTTGATTTGACAATGCATAAGCATTCCCACTTGATAATAAAGAGAAACAGAAAAACAATAAGTGGGAATGCATAAGCATTCCCACTTGATTACTGCATGTTGTCCATTGACAGTGTCTAACTTCTCTTGCACTGCTTTTCCTATTAATATGGTAAAGCCCTGTGGAGCGTCCGACACCAGGCTGCATGTGATGCTAATTAGCCAATGAGCTGCTGTCAGTCTGGGTTGCTGCTGCTGCTACTTTTAGACACAGCAGGCAAACCGGTGGCAAGCCGGGCGATGGGAAAGAAGTAGAAGATGATGAGAAAAAGAGAGCAGAGAAAGAGTGGACTGCTGGAAGAACTGTGGTGAACTGGTGAAAGAAAAGTGAAATGGTGCTCAAAGATGACCCTGCACATTTAGAGGATGTTTGGCTCAACCTGCTGCTGTGAAGCAGGATTCTCCACCATGAACAGAATCAAAAATAAATATGGATCAAGACTCAAAATGAGCTCCTTGATATGTGCTTTAGAATGGCTTTACCTCCATTTAAACCCAGGTTTAAAGCCTTGCAGGGCAGCATAAAGCCCACTGCCAACATTAAGACAGAAAAAAGAAAAATAAAGATCAGTTCAGGTGTTTTATAAAATATGTGAATCAGGAAATTGCCTGTATACCAAACTGAATGGTTGCTGTTCTCTACTTAAAAAAAAACACTCTAGATTTTAAAGTGTAAAAATGCCTTTAATTTTTAATTTTTTTATTTATTTTTTTATTCAATGTATAACATGGATGCATGAAAACCTGCATTTTAGCACGATCCGTCCTGCCATGCCCCATCAGCTCATATACGCATCCAGATATACATTCGGGTCACCCTCAATTTTATTTTGTTGAAAAGACCTAGATGATGTTTTTCGCTCCCCAAAATAGTAAGTGTACTAAAATATAATGTGTTAAAGGTTAATAATGTATTTCATGAGAAAGTAAATGCCTTAAAATGCTTTCTGTTTTATCACTCGTCTCTTTCCGATCTGCACAGGAGATGAGATCCTATGTCACTTTCGGGAGCTAACTTTGGATTTAAAAATAAGTCTAGTCTTTTTGAGCTTTTATGTTTTCGTTTCATGTTAACATTATATCATATAGTGCGTAATCTAAAGAAAGGAACAACTAAAATGCAGATTGTTTAGTCAGATTTTGGCGGACTGCTCTGAGCATGTCCCATGATGACGTCAGAAAAGCAGTTTAACAAAGAAAATGTAAAAAGCATCAAAACTGTATCAGAAAAGTTAGAAAGCTTTTATTAAATATGTGTATTAGTATTCTTTAGTTAGTTAAGGATAGAAATAAGTAATTTTAGTACCATAATGACATTATTTATGGACACCCGGATGTATATCTGTTGGCGCATGTGAAGGACAAATCGTGCTTCCAGGACGGATCAGTTAGTGACACTGTGCTTCGAGCTCTCCTATACCTTTGCATTGCAGAGGAGCTACTGCGCATGTACTGCTTTTAATGAGAGTCAATGGGCAAAGAATTTTGCACATAAAGCGGAAATACGTCACCAAGTCCACAAAAAAAAGGAACGACGCTTCACTAGTCATTAAAGATTAAGCATGTACCTTGCACATCTAAGAAACACACATGAATATATTTCAAAATAGTTTAAATGTTAATAGAAAATTAAATTATAAAAAAATATCTATATATGTTTCTTAATCAGGGTCATTGGGTGGATGGGGCGGCACCCTTGCGCCCCCTAATGGCCAGCTGCCACTGGCTTTAGGGTAATAATAGTTTAATGAAGCACTAGAGACAAGAAAAGAGAAGAGGATCAAATAGGGGCTCCAGTAAAAAACATTCAACATCAGCTTAGAGAGTTTTGCAGATGTATTTCATCTCTATTGTGAAATCAGAGCACTATCAAAGGGATAAACCACTAATAAAAACCTAGCCTAATAAATGTAATATCACAATTATTTTAACTGTTTATAAAAATTAAAGAAATCAATCAATTACTCCTGTTAAATGTAGTTAAATATAAATGAATCCAATGAGAGAATCATTTGAAGAAGTGAACTAAAAAATGTAGAGGTTCCTTGGGTCCAGAACGGTGCTGGTTTCTGTATCAGGGATAACCTTTTCTGTCTGCAGTGATCAAAGCTAAAAGTGCACAGCTTAAAAACCAATTAATTCAGATGTTACATTTAGGAGCAGGCAGTAAAAATCAAACTACGAACCCCACAATCCAGCACACAGAACCTCAGCGTTGAACTTCTTCTTGTACTTCCGGATCTCCGGGCTGTCGCTCTGCGGCCGTATGTTGGTTGGGTTTACGTTCACTACTGAGCCCTTCCTGTGAAACTCCCTCTTCAGCGGCTCACCCTTCATGGCTGCTGCACAAACAGGACGGAAACAGGATTTAGCCGTTTTACACAGAAAAAACTCCAATAGTTCACAATCCAAACAGTGAATGTATTTTGTTTAGATTTTATGGAAAGACCGACAAAGCGCTGCACAGCTAGTGTAAAAAAAACCCAACAACAATGACTTGTGGATTATGAACCTATTTTAGGATTTCTTTCTGTTTTTACAGCTTTTTCTAAGAGCTTTATGCTCTGGCTGCATCTGTCTATTTTAGGATTTCATCATTATATTAATTATTCTTTCAATTATTTTCCTGATAAAAATATTTTAGTAAACAAGGCTCAATAAATTTGAACTTGAAAGTGTCAAAAACTAGGAAGCTCTAAAAAATTCAGTCACAAAGTTAAGGAATCCTTTAAGATGGAGCCCGATAAATTAAACTAACTCATTTAATTCCATTCAGTTTATTTCTAAAGCTCCAATTCACAACTCATGTCATCTTAAGGCCCTTTACAGAGAAAATTCAACCAGATAATCCAGTCAAATTCATTCAAAGTTTTGTATCTCCAGATAGACGAAAGCTGCAGCAGAACCAGGCTCAGAGTGAGCGGCCGTCTAATGTGTCCGTCAAAGAAATGTGTCCGTCAGTGAAAAGGAAAGAAGAAAAAAAAAAAGAGAAGAGAAATTTAGAGAAAAGAAAAAAGAGATTAATAAAAAAAGAAGAAGAGATAAGAGAAAAAAATATATATAGTACCTCCTAGTTCACTCCACCAACTTTGGAATTAGACAAACAAGTTGCCTAATTCGGGCTTCGGCCTCATTAGTTTTATGGGGACATCTTTTTATGGAGAACAGTCGCATCGCTGCCCTCCTCAGGGCACTTGCTTGTCCATCATTTCACTGATATTACGCTGCCGTGCGTTATGCATAAGTTAGGCTGTTGTGGGACATAAGTTCTGAACTCATTATGTATACTCTATGTATATGTCTAAACTTACAATAATATATAGAAAGTTCAGCTATGCTTGCGTTTTAGGAGATTCTGGGACGTCAGGTAAGGTGTGACAGGGCCCTTAGGAAGGCCAGCTCTGTGATTGGATGCCCTCTGCACTCATTGCAGGAGGTGGGAAACAAAAGGACCCTAACTAAAATAACATCTCTGTTGGCTAATGTTTTCCACCCCATGCATGAAGCTGACAGACTGCTGCACCCTAAATGCATCAGGGAGCGTTATCACAGATCCTTCCTCCCAGCAGCTGGAAGACTCTATAACCACCACTGTTCCCAACAACCTCAATAAGTTGTTACATTCGGGCTGATTTTGAACAGTTTTTACCTTAGTGATTTAAAGTCGTAGGGAATCGGCTGTTCCAGCATTTCCGAATTCTCCCGAGTGGTGCACGACTTTACACGAGTGAATAAAGTAAATGTGTTTGCTTGATTATCAAGAGGGCGGGATTGTTGTGGTGGAAGGTTCGCAAGTAAGTTTGGTTGTGGCCGGTTTCTCTAAAGCATCTTGCTAACCAGTTAGCAACTTAGTGCTAGTAGGTTCCCAATGGGAAATTCCATTGGGACCAAGTAGCACTAAATTGGTGACTTAGAAACGACACTGTCAAGGAACGCTATGGACAGAGGAAACATGCAAGAGGAGGAGAGTTTGAGTCGAAGGTCGTGGATGAGTCTCCTCCGTCATCCATTTTTTATTTAGAGGAGGAAAGCGGGGATGAAGATGTTGTGGAAGAGGACGCCAGGGCGGCAGAAGCTTGGTTTGATGTAGAAGTCTTACAGCCGTACAAGTAAATTATTGTTATTTCTTATTTTAACCATTGCGTATATTAGCTGCTACATATGAATCAAGATGCTATGAGTGAAAAAATTAGATTGACCGTTGATATATAATTGGCCGAATTTAGGTTTTCAGTCTGACGTATAACTACCTGGCCTGCATAAGATAACAAAAAAACCACAGAATTTTAAGACAAAATAAATTTTACGACAGAGTTTTTTTTTTTTTAAATAGACATTTTCTAAATTTTGGGACAATATCTTCTGATAAAGAATACATTTATATACGTACATGTTTAAGCCAGAATGATTTGGCATTTAAATATGATTCCCCTATGACTTTAAATAAAATGCTGCTGTTATTTGTGCACATCTCTGATGTTGCTGCTATCCACTATTGTAAAAATGTTCACAGCTGTTTATTGATTATTCTTTAGGTGACTGCCCAGTTTTCATATTTGTAAAAAATAAACAGTCACTTAGTCTGTTATTTTTATACACTTTAAGGTTCACATTTGTGTGACCACCTATGCTGTAATGTTTTTGCTGCTGTAAAACCACAATTTTCACATTGTGGGACAATGAAGGGATTTTCTATTCTAATCTCTGCAGCTCTACGTTCTGAGGTCATTTAGAGGCATTATAGGAGTGAATGAGGGGGCTCACAGGAAGAGCCATTGCCATGTTTCATGTTTAAAAGAACTTTGCTGGTTTTTCATTTCCCATAAAAACACACAATAACGTCACAGGAAAAGGACAACATGCTGAAAAGGTTCAAGGAGTAGGATGGCTGCTGCTTGTTTACTTACTTGGACTCTGTGGGGGCGACGATATGGGGATCAGTCTTGGGTCGATGAAGGACAGGGAGGAAGAGGAGCAGGTGCTTTTGGTGGATGGACTGCTTACAGCCTGGTGAGAGCAGAGTCACAGATTCTCTGAAACTGCTGGTCAAGATTCTCAATCATCCAGGTCACAGGCATTCCAAAAAGTCTCTCTTTTTGGAATGCAGACTTTTGTTTCCAAGTTTGATGATGTTTTTAGTTCAAAATGAAATAGTGTTGAGTTCCAGGCTTTATATTTGATGGGCTACTCTATAAATCCTGGAACTCAACGCTATTCCTGACATTTTGAATTGAAAAAGCTTCCTAGATAGGAGGCGAAATGTCTTCAAGCTTGGAAACAAAGTCCAGTGGATTGTTTTTAAATGTCTTTTTCTGGAATTCTCTGAAACTGTTTGGCAGCTCTAACAGTCTATATACCAACCATGACCTCAAAGTGAAAAAAACAATTCATCCGATTTCCTGATTTCCTTTCAGTTAAAATCACTTTGTTTAATTTGTATTTAACTGGAACGGGAAAAGGTTTGAAGAAGGTGTAAATAAAGTTAGAAATCAAGTCCTGACACAAGACCATAGAGTTCCATCAAACAGTTTATCATGGAGTAAAACTATAGCCCTGGCTCCCTCTGCTGGACAAACCACAGTGATGCAACACTTTCTGTTTTTGGTCATCTTCAGCTGTGATGACAGTAATGAGGAATGAAAGTGAAGCTCACATGCAGGTCCTGCAGAGTGGGGGATCCTGGAGCCGTTGGGGAAAGCGAACAGCTGAATTCACATGTTCGCTGCTGGCTCAGAGCGCTGTGTGCTGGACTGGAGGCGGAGGTTTTCTGCAGGAGGTCCGGCAGCAGGTAGGTATCATCGGATCCCAGCCGGGACATCTGAGGAACACAGAGACACAAGAAGGTCAGGAGATCAGCAGTCCTAGGACGGGCTGAACGGTCGGTCCGTCAGCCGGTTTCTAACCTGGTTCAGGTTCTGGTGGGGCTGCAGGACGATGCCATCAGGGATTCCTCTGAAGTGTTTCCCTTTTCCATTAGAGAGGCCGGACCTTAAGACAAACAGGCGGACGTTTCAGAACCAGGTGGAAAAAGATGGAGTGAATTCTGTTCCATTATTGTTGCAAAAAAAAAAAAAAAACTTCATTGGAAAAAAGCATTTTAGAATTGAAACTGTGAGAAATGTCTCAATTTAAAGAAAAAAAAGGTTTCAAGATTAACTTTGAGGTTTTTTCCAGATTTAGTATTTGAAATTATTTTTTCCCCATTTTTATCAGATTTTATTATTTTAAATTTGTCTTTTTTAGCTGCATTTATTTAAAATTGTGTTTTCCAGATTGTAGCGCCACTGAACAACATCTATTGGGCTTAAAGTATGGAGGAGCAGCTCTACCATATCTAAAAATAAATACAGAAATACACAAATGCTCAGTAAATAAATAAACCCCTATAAATACAATAAATAAATAAATGTAGGTAGAAATTAAATAACACAGTGAGACAGAAATGCATATATCTCTTTTAATTAGCTTTATAATTTATTCACTTTTGTAATGGTTACCTTATTTATTTATTGTCCGTTATAATCTTTAACTTTATTTATTAATTACTTATTTTTAAAGCATTTATTTATGTGCATGTCATAATACTTTTGTCTGTTTTATTCTTCCTTTGTATTTTTTTTACTCTATTTATTTCTTCAACACTATTTATTTCTTCCTGCCGTTTTTACATTTCTGTATAAAAAACTACAAAGAAAAAAATTATAACATGCACATAAATAAATAAGGAAATTATTACAAAGGTGAATAAATAAAAAAGCTCATTAAAATATATATACAATTATGGCTTACTGATTTAATTTCTACCTACATTTATTTATTTATTGTATTTCTGGGAGCAATTATTTGTATGCTAATTTATTTATTTATTGAGCATTTATTTATTTCTGTATTTATTTTTAAATATGGTAGAGATGGTCCTTCATATTAAAGGGAATCTGATGTAGAAAACACAATTTGAAAACTATCTGAAAAAAAAAAAAAAAACTTCTAAAAATATGCAAAGAAAATGGTTTGAAAAAATAAAAATTAGAAAATTTATTTCTGGATTGCATTTTTTCCCCAAGTTTCCATTTATAAAACTTCTTTTCTGCAACAATAATGGAAAAAATTCACTTCATAGAAAAATCTGCATTCACTTATCAGTTCAAACAAAAAGCACAGAAGAAATTAAATCCTTTCTTATTTATCCCATTATTGAATTCTAAAGTAACGCATTTATTAACATTAAAAAATGAAGAAAAAAGGATAAATATCTTCACCTGTTTCTGTCCTCCTCATCGCTGCTGCCAACGTCGTCACTGGAGGAGGAGTACTCAGCCGCCTTGCTTCGCCCCACAGCTGCTTTTACTCCCTTTGAGGAATGAAAACGGAGGAGAAACTTTTCCAGTTAAAAGAGGCTGGAAGCAGAACTTTAAACACAGATGGAGCTAAAAACAGGAAACTGTTTTTAAAGGTGCAGTGGGAGATCTTTTCAGATGCATTTTTTTACCATGTGGCTTAAAGATCTCCCCACAGCCACTTAGCAAGCAGAGAAATAGAAGGTCCGGAAGTGAAACTAAAATAAATGGTTCCTGGTACAATGAGAAATCAATGAATAACCCCAACCAATCACAAAAGACTGTCTGTTGTACAAGACTGGTTCCTAACACATCAATCATGGTCGTCTGCTTGTTCCTCCCCCCGTGCACATTCCCTGACACATGAACAAATTGACCCCCCAATGCTTGTGCAGGATGCCATGGCTGGAAGCTAGCCACTGTTATGCTATGTTCACACCTAAAGCAGCAAGAGCAGCAAAAACGCTGCTTCATTTCTGATGCTTGCACAAGTTTAGTTCTGATGCATGGTTGAAGCATCTTTGCGCGTTTTTGCTGTTCTTGCTGCTTGCGGTCTGAACGTAGCATCAGACAACTTTCACTGTCTTTTCTTAAAGTGTGGGATTGTAATCTGTATAACGATCTGATTGCTGCTGCATGCTGTGCTGTACGTCGTTACTACGTTTTAAAACTTAGCTCTTTGTCCTGCATCTGTTTTATTCAGACGTATTTTCCTTCTGCAGACATCAGACAATCGGCACATTTCAGAATATTTACCTGCGTCTGTCCACTGCTGTTATCGGTCTTCCTGTGCAGACGCTGCTGCAGCAGAGGACTTTCAAGCTTGAACAGGCCTGAAACACAGAATGATGTTAGCTTTAAAAACTATATTTACTTTGGTTGAATCAGAAAATCGGACGGTGATCAGAAATCCTGCCTCTCTGCCATTAGCCACAACATAAACTCTAACCTTCCTTTCAGGGTGAGGTTACCCTGAGCCTGCTTCAGTAGATACCAGGAGACTGAAGTGACTCCCACAGCAAGCTTCTTCACCCCTGAGCTAGGCTTTAAGGCCACTGGAGTTAAATTGGGTTAAATCAATTTAACGCTTGCTAAAATGTCTGTGTTGATTCGCTTCCATTAGCTCCTGGAGTGCTGTAGATTTAAACACAACATTCAGGGGATGATCTTTAAAGCTTCCAAACACTGAGATAAACTGAACGTGCAAATTTGTGTTTTGAAAGAGCAATAAGTTTGCATGCGAAGAAGCACAAATTAAAATGAGCAGACCGCTATTTCTACTGGCTGATTGAGAATGACTCTAAAAGAATGATGAGGTTCTAAGTAATAATTGTAAAAACAAAAACAAATGAGACTAAATAATATCCACAGTCCACTTCACATATAGGTAGCCTGTCTCAAAGTGCTACAAAAAAATAATAAAAAGATTAACATAACAGCAGTTAAATACAAAATAAGTTAACTCTAAAAAATGAGAAAGTTGTCTTTGTCTGCTAATTGACAGTCTGTTTCAGGATCTATAATATTTCATAGAGATCGGCCGAGGCCAATGCCAAAATCGATTATTTTGACATTTTTTATTGAGGGAAGCGACACAGATAATCTCCTCAGTGAACACATCAATTTCCACTTCACAGTTGTAAAACATAGAACTATAATTTGTCAAAAAAAAAAAAGAAAAAAAGAAAATTAAATCTATGCATTAAGCTTTTTATGTTACAGAAGTCCTGATTTTTGTCTGAGGTCTTCAGCCTGGAAAATAAAACTGGTTTTCTACACCTCCAAATCTGGAAAAAGGAAGAAAATGAACAGATACTGAAGTAATTCAGGCTAATGCTACAACCAAACCAGGCAGATCTGTTTTCATTTGGATTAAATAAAAAATAAATAAAAACATTGCCAGAGAATCTTACATTTTTCCCCTCTAAGAAACTAAACCAGCACTGAGGGCCATGTAAAGAAGGCCCCCAGTTTTAGAGCCCATATCCCCCAGTTTAAACATGTTCCTACCTGGGTGGTTGCTGCCTGATGAAGAACCTCCATGAGACACAGACCTTCCGCTCCGATCTAACACCGACAACGGACTGCCACTAGATGGAGACAGAGACACACAAGAAAGACAGAAACGGAGGAAGAGAAGGTTATCATCATAGTCATCATCCGTGTCACAGTGTAGAACATGTCCTTCATGCTGTCACAGAGAAGGCCCCGTTTCCTCACCATTATTTTCATCTAACTCACAGCAATCATCCAGGCTAAACTAATCGGATCAGCTTAGGAGCAGCTGCTCCTGAGGTTCCATGTGATGTATGGCCTCATAAAAAATACAGTCCAAAGTAAATTAGACCAACTGTAATTAATACCGTATCTAAAACTAATAGTTATCAGGTTTCAAAAGCATCCAATTAAAGGTGATATAGGATGATGAAATAACACCGTATCAAACCACTTCTGATGCCTGAACAAACCTTTAAAGGAAAAGTTCGGTCTATTTGGAACTTCTGAAAGTACTTAAAATATGAAATTATTACATACTGTTCAATAAATGATAAGTGTTTTTATTCAAGTGGGAATGCTCAAGCATTCAGCTTAACTAGAAAAAGCAAACAGCTTAAGTCAGTTAAGAGTAATTTTCATTTGAATGTGCTTTACTGGAGGCATCCATGTTTGTCAAAGAACACTACTGCCACCTACTGGTTTGTGACGTCACGGTGCGGTATCGGCTGTTGATCAAGTCCCAGTGCTGTATCTGGTGTTTGTCACAACGCGCTATTATCCAAGTCATCCTGAAAACATTTTTCTTCCAAATGTTGGCTACATATTACGTGTTTTTTCTCTGGCCAGAAGATGGCAAATCCTCCCTCTTCAATTTGAATCATGAATCGGACAGGTAAATTAACTAATTTTTTCTTCACTTTTATCCGATGTACAGTATTCCAACATCCAGCTGCCATGCACGTGGGCATTGTCAGTTTCACTATAGCTCTGGTGAATTTCAATGGTGAAGTCCTCTGGAAATCTTCAATAATTGTTGTTGATTGCAGATGTGTCTAGTAGTTCCCATTGATTTTGCTTGTAAAGCGGGGAGAATGACGCTAGGCTTACCGCACCGTGACGTCACTGCCTATATTGCTATATTTGGGCAAAAATGTCCGCTCCCAAACTCAGTAATCGTAAAAAAAAAAAAATCATTTTCATTTTTTTTACTGATTAACTAAATTAATTAAATTACAGCAAATGTATTAGTTTTAGGTATAAATAATGATCCATTATTATTCGGTGCTGACCAGACTTTTCCTTTAATGGCTAATGGAGTTTAATGAATTAGCTAAAAAAGAAACTGTTGTGCTTCTTGCAGATTAACTACTAAAAAAAACACTTGGTCCGAACTTTCGACCCTGAATCATGGCACTCTGTCTCACTTTCCCCCTCCCTGATTGGAGGGGTGGGCGTCTGTTTGCAGTGCAGGCGCAGCGCGGTTAACGAAGCCGTTTCAAGGAGGAATACTGAAAGAAACTGAAATGTAAATAGGTTGATTTTTCTTGAGATATGTGGATTTTCTCTTGATTTGAGCAGAGAGGCAAGACAGTTTGCCAAACAGAAGAAGGTGGTTTACATTTAAATAAGAAAAAAACACAACTGCATTATCTGATTTCAAGTGTATAATTATAGAATTATCTTGTTTTAAGGTCGTTAATAAATATTCTTTTGCAAGATCTTATTTACCAGCTCAAACTAAGGGAAAACAATTATTTTAAGACTTTTTCAAAAACTAAAGCCTTCTTATGTAGTAATTGTTAAGCAATCTTTTTAACAGTGAGGGAGGGGCTGCTGCTCAGACAGCAGAACTCATGAGGATTACTCAAAGATGCATGAATCTGGTGAAATACCACTCTGTGCATGATTTTTCATGTTATAGGCCCTTTAAAATGGCAGTACGGTGATACATTTAGCTAAACTCCTCCTGCATATCAGCTGCTTCCTGCTGGAAGCCTCATCAATACAAAGAAGAAGTAGTTACCTAATTTAAGCAGGTAAGACTGAAATATATCATACTAACCATAAAGACTGTTTAAAAAAAAGTATGTTTATTTCCTGCCTCCTTCTGATTTGATCAGTTTCCTAAATCATTTTACAAAATAAACCATAATCATGTGAACCGATTATTTTCCAATTTCAATGTTTCAATGTTCGCAAACTTAGAAAACAAAATAGGTAAAAAAAACATCCTAAAATCAGTGTATTTGCTCTTAATTTGAGCAGGTGAACAATATGTGTGAATGGGCTCAGCATTTAAATAAACTAAATATAAGATTTAAATAAATAACAATGACAATTAAGTAGTTTTTCTTATCTTGAATGTAAATCATCAAGTTAAAGGAAATACATTAATTACAAAATACATAAATACCTATGAATTTTTGCAGTTCAGTAAAGAACTGCTGAAAAAAAAAGATTTGCAGAGAAAATCTCTATAATCTAAGCCAAGTCTTACTTCTCCACAGTGTTTGTTCAAAGTCTTCCACAGACAGTGATCGAGGTAAGATGTCAAACTAGTGAATTATGCAGAATATTTATTAATATAGGTCTGTCATAGGTTTTTTCCCCCCCAGGATTTCCAATACGTTTTAATGTTTTTCTTGTTACAGGTGCTGGTCATAAAATTAGAATATCATGAAAAAGTAGATTGATTTCAGTAATTCCATTAAAAAAGTGAAACTTGTATATTATATTCATACATTACATACAAACTCATATATTTCAGATGTTTATTTTGTTTAATTTTGATGATTACAAATGACAACAAATGAAAATCTCAAATTCATCATATCAGAAAATTAGAATATTGTGAAAAGGTTCAAAATTGATGGCCCCTGGTGCCACACTCTAATCAGCTAATTAACTCAAACCACCTGCAAAAGCCTTTAAATGGTCTTTCAGTCTAGTTCTATAGGCTACACAATCATGGGGAAGACTGCTGACTTGACAGTTGTCCAAAAGACGACCATCGACACCTTGCACAAGGAGGGCAAGACACAAAAGGTCATCGCTAAAGAGGCTGGCTGTTCACAGAGCTCAGTGTCCAAGCACATTAATAGAGAGGCGAAGGGAAGGAAAAGATGTGGTCGAAAAAAGTGTACAAGCAAGAGAGATAACCGCACCCTGGAGAGGATTGTGAAACAAAACCCATTCAAAAATGTGGGGGAGATTCACAAAGAGTGGACTGCAGCTGGAGTGAGTGCTTCAAGAACCACCACACACAGACGTATGAAAGACATGGGTTTCTGCTGTCGCATTCCTTGTGTCAAGCCACTCTTGAACCACAGACAGCGTCAGAAGCGTCTTGCCTGGGCTAAAGAGAAACAGGACTGGACTGCTGGTGAGTGGTCCAAAGTCATGTTCTCTGATGAAAGTAAATTTTGCATTTCCTTTGGAAATCAAGGTCCCAGAGTCTGGAGGAAAAGAAGAGAGGCACTTCATCCACGTTGCTTGAAGTCCAGTGTAAAGTTTCCACAGTCAGTGATGGTTTGGGGTGCCATGTCATCTGCTGGTGTTGGTCCATTGTGTTTTCTGAGGTCCAGGGTCAACGCAGCCACATACCAAGAAGTTTTAGAGCACTTCATGCTTCCTGCAGCTGACCAACTTTTTGGAGATGCAGATTTCATTTTCCAACAGGACTTGGCACCTGCACACAGTGCCAAAGCTACCAGTACCTGGTTGAAGGACCATGGTATCCCTGTTCTTAATTGGCCAGCAAACTCTCCTGACCTTCACCCCATAGAAAATCTATGGGGTATTGTGAAGAAGAAGATGCAATACACCAGACCCAACAATTCAGAAGAGCTAAAAGCCACTATTAGAGCAACCTGGGCTATCATAACACCTGAGCAGTGCCACAGACTGATCGACTCCATGCCACGCCGCATTGCTGCAGTAATACAGGCCAAAGGAGGCCCAACTAAATACTGAGTGCTGTACATGCTCATACTTTTCATGTTCATACTTTTCAGTTGGCCAACATTTCTATAAATCCTTTGTTTTTATTGGTCTTCAGTAAAATTCTAATTTTCTGATATGATGAATTTGAGATTTTCATTTGTTGTCATTTGTAATCATCAAAATTAAACAAAATAAACATCTGAAATATATGAGTTTGTATGTAATGTATGAATATAATATACAAGTTTCACTTTTTAAATGGAATTACTGAAATCAATCTACTTTTTCATGATATTCTAATTTTATGACCAGCACCTGTATTTAAGTTTTCCAGCAGGCTTTGTAACCCACTATAGCATCCAGAAATGTGGTTTTATAAACAGTTAAATCTCCAAATTCCGTCTACCAACTACCACATACTAAATAAAGTACGTAAGGACATTTTTCTTGAAAAAGTGTATTTTTTCCTAAGTTTGCGCTGGTAAGACAATTTCCGGATAGTATGAGATAGTATAGGTTTAGGATGATAATAAAAAATCTCCATAAACTTGATTCCTTTATAACAGCGCAAAAATCTCCTTCCAACCAGAGCATGTGTAAATTCATGTTTGACTTAAAACCCATAGACCAATGCCTATGATGTCGTCTGTGACTATAATCTGTTATAGTCTATGTTTCAACTTTACCACGGAATCACCGACACAAGGATTGCATATTGTGTGATAAAAAGTGGGATAAAATATCATAAAAACACACACTAACTCTAGTTAAAGGGAAGTGGCCGTTCCAACCGTTGCATTTCTGAATTCTTCCCAGCAGTGCACAACTTTAAAAGAGTGAATAAAGTGAATGTGATTGGTCAGTTATCAAGAGGGGGGGATTGTTTTAGGAGAAGGTTCGCATGTTTGATTGTGGCCGGTTTGCTGGAAGCATCTTGCTAACCAGTTAGCAACTTAGTGCTAGTAGGTTCCCAATGGGAAATTCCATGGGGACCAAGTAGCACTAAATTGGTGACTTAGAAACGACACTGTCAAGGAACGCTATGGACAGAGGAAACATGCAAGAGGAGGAGAGTTTAGTGTCGGAGGTCGTGGATGAGTCTCCTCCGTCATCCATTTTTTATTTAGAGGAGGAAAGCGGGACGAAGCTGTTGTGGAAGAGGACGCCAGGGCGGCAGAAGCTTGGTTTGGTGTAGAAGGCTTCCAGCCGTACATGTTTGAGCCCTTGCCTCGCAACGCTGCCAGTTCTGTTAGCTCTACGCCTGCTGAAGACACAGACGTCCATCCCCGTGAACACTGGGACGGAACTCAATGGGAAAGGAAATTATTCTTATTTTAACCGTTGCGTATATTAGCTGCGACATAAGAATCAAGATGCTATGACTGAAAAAATTTGACTGACAGATGACCGTTGATATATGATTGGCCGAATGTAGGTGTTCAGGCTGAGGAATAACTAACTGGCCTGCATAAGATAACGGAAAAAAAAAAATATTTTAAGACATAATTTTTTTTTTTATAGAAATTTTCTAACTTTTGGGACAATATGGTCTGATAAAGAGTACATTTATAGATGTTTAAGCCAGAGTGATTTCACATTTAAATATGACTTCCCTACAACTTTAACAGTACAGAGCTGGTTTACATAAAGTGATCGTTGTGGTAAGAACCTGTTTTTGAAAAATAAATTAATAATTAAATAAGAAATATGGGGCAACATGAATGGAGCGAGGTGTTACGTTCACAGCTGGGATCATTTAACAGCCAGTTAATTAGACAATCAATATAATAATAAATCAAACGCCGTGTGCCCCAGGGCCCTGGCATCTTTACATGAAGGAAAAATGTCAGAAAATGCCTTCTCCTGAAAATATAAGTGAGCGTGGAGCCATTTCGCAGGAGCGGCAGGCAAATTAAGGTGAACGCGGAGCAGATTATGAGCGGATCGTCCTGGCGCAACTTTGAACGGCGAAGCGAACATCCTCCTGAGAGGGGAGCGGGAAATGAACGGCGCTCTGCTTGCAACTTATTTACCTGCTGAAATTAAGGAAAAATCCTTTTTTTAGATCAGTCTTTGGGGTGTATTTCCCACACCTGCAAATGAGACAAATCTATTTTTTTTAAATCCTATTTAGTGTTTAATACAGTTTAGGACCGAACACTAACCCCTGGGGGACGCAACAAATAACCTCTAAGAAGTCCAGCCTTCTCCCTCTATGTTTGTCACCTGCTCATCTTATAATGACTCACTTTTGATTCTGTTCGTGTATTTGTGTAAACAATAATGTTGTGTTGGACGCAATAGAGGAATATTACATCATATTTGGACAAACTGCTGCCTGTTCATTACATAGCTTTTTTATTTAGCTCAGCCTCCCTTTCTAATTTTAGAAGTCATGATTAATAGTGTCTAATTCTTTTTTAGATATACAAATACTCCTATGTTGAGAATGAGGAAATCAGGTGGTTATTGCAATGAAAACATGTCTTTTTAACATAATTTCACGTTTAAAAGGCGAACATGATTAAATCAAGGAGAAAAAGCATGATATTCAACAACTAACCGTTCAAAACAAATGTTTTTCGATAAAGTTATCAAGATTAAGAAAGAATACTTTTTCTAAAGCTTTAAAAAAATATAATATCACCGGCCTATAATTTAAAGAAAACATGTTTGTAGTCACAGTTTTTTTTGTTTCAGTTATGTGAAAAACAAAATACTCAGGTTGATTGTGATATGCATCTCTTTTAAGTGAAAATGATCCAATTCATGAGGCCCTAAGAATGGGTCCAAAAGCGATCAAATGTTTAGCAGAGGCAGTTGTTTGGACAGAAAAGTGGTATTAATGTGAGGAGGACAAAATGGTCCAAAAGAGGGGGGTGAAATAGTGGTTTCAATAACCACCAGTTCAAGTATATAGACTGTTCAGACACATTCCTACAGTGTCACACAGTGATAAAAATCTTTAGCCAGCTAGACAAATGTGTCATTTTGAGGAAAAATTAAAACAAAAGGAGTTAATTAGCTTCTTGACGTTATTTTTATCACTTCAATCAGGAACAAAGAACATTTATGGTCACGATGGAACCATGAGACCCTCAGCTGAAAATCCACATATAAAGTGAATAAGGCTAATGCTAATAATTAAAATAATCCAGGAATTGGTTAGTCTGGCAGACAGGAAACGAGGAAGTAGAAATTCAGGTTTTCAAGGCAGAAAACATAGTTTTGGCTAAAATAATTCAGAAATTTCTCATGTTTGTCAAAACATAAAATCCATCATGGCCGCCAAGTGTACAAACACAACAGCTAGCTGTTGGATTCACATATAAATAAACCCCCTCACATCCAGTCCTGTACAAACTCTGCAAGAGGAGGTTTCCCTACTGGGTTTGAATGAATACAATAATAAACTAACACTTTTGTTACTGTAGTTGGAACTTAAATAAATAAAATTTTAATCCATAAATCAATCTGACAACAGAAAAAGAGAGGTCTGTTTCTAAGACATCCTGCTCCAGGTACATCCTTAGGTGGACCTTTACCTTGAGGCCGTCCTCTTGTGTCCCATCACCAGCTCTCTGCAGTAGAATTTAGAAGTTGTTCGTTCTGGAACCTGAGAGAGAAAAAAGCAGAGTCCATTAACTAACACCTTCAGGATGGAGGGAACAACTTCTAGGTGGATCATTTCCTGCTTCACTTGTAGAGCTCTACCCAAGGACTTTAATTAACATGACACCACCTGTCAATCACCATCTAATGGCTAGTCAGCAACTGACCAATCAGCAAGCTCGGTTTTTACGCTAAGTAAAATATCCCCTCCCCCACAGGAGCGCACTCCAACACAACACCGGGGTTTGCATTAGGAAAACAAATTGGAATTTTGTTTTAAACATGTCAGAGACATATAATGTGAAGTATTGAGAGAATGACTCATCCATCCATACATCTTCTCCTGCTTAGTCCTGTCGGGGTCATGGTAGGTGAGTGGCGGGGTACGCCAGTCTGTCGCAGGCAAACACCAAGACACACAAACATGCACAAACACACTCATACCTCAGGACAATTTAGGGAAGCCAATTAACCTAACAGTCATGTTTTTGGACTGTGGGAGGAAGCTGGAGTACACGGAGAGAACCCACACATGCTCAGGGAGAACATGCAAACTCCATGCAGAAAGACCCCGGGCTGGGAATTGAACCCAGAACCTTCTTGATGCAAGGCAGCAGTGCTACCCACCGCAAATATCCTTGTGAAATGTAAAAGATTAACAAAAGCACACAATTGATGAGATGCTCAACACAAACATCAAACTTAAGCACAAAGTTACTTAATTATCTACAAAAATGTAGTATTAAAGTATCACTTTAAATGATACAGGGCCTGATTGAAGTGGTAGGGAAGCGGCTGTTTCAACAGTTGCATTTCCGACTTTAAACGACTGAATAAAGTGAATGTGATTGGCGGATTATCAAGGGGGCAGGACTGCAGCGGAAGGCCGATGTCTCCGAATAATCTTGCTAACCAGTTAGCAACTTAGTGCTAGTAGGTTCCCAATGGGAAATTCCATTGGGACCAAGTAGCACTAAATTGGTGACTTAGAAACGACACTGTCAAGGAACGATATGGATTTTATTTATTTTGCTCAGGCTACTCTGAAGCCCACAGACCACCAAATGTTGAAAGGGCAATATTACTGTTAATATATAGTAGAAATTTTACACATTCAGTAATAACATGTCACAGGGTATGGATGGAGGGATGGTCATTTAAGAAGGGGGATGATTTTAAATTTTCTTTTAAGATCGAGGGTGCCATCCCCCTTCATCCCCCAACAGGCGAGTTTTATCACCTCGCCTGTTGAAATGTAAATCTGTGTGAAGTTTCTACAGCCAAATGTCAGCAGTGCTTCATAGGTACACTAGATGAGCTGTGTTTGTTTTCTAATATTTCGAAATGTAAAGGAGGTAAATATGTAACAAAAACGAGCAAACGTGATATTTTCTCCTTCTCTCTAATAACTCCTGAAGGTTACAGCTACATTTCTTTCTGTCGAGGATTACAAAGCGCTTTAGCGGGGATTATGTGAAAAGGTTTATAAGCAGGAACAGAGGATTGTTCAGCTGCTAAATTGTTTCTCTTCAGACTTGCAGAATCCTTCATGCTGCTGATCCCCTGAAGAAAACGCTTCAGAACTGAGCTGCTGGTTTCTGCAAAGCCTCTGCACTGTAAGAGAGACTTATTAACTGCTCCATCGACTCCATATGGCCTCCTGTGAGTTCAACAAGTTAACAGCCAACAGACCGGACCCCGCCTGTATTTATCATCTCCTTATTAAGTTGGTTAGCCACGATACAAGCAGCCTTATCTGCAGGGGAGCAAGTGAAGACTGTAGGCAGGTAATTAAAACGTTCACGAGATGATACTCACTTTAGGCGGGGTGTCCGAGTCCCAGAAGACGTTGTCGGTGGGGGAGAACGGGGACAGCGGGGAGATGGCCATATCTGACATGGAGCTGCTGTGATGGGCGTCGCGACTGGAGGCGAGGTTGGGGTTCTGGGGAATGAAATGAAGCTCAGGCGACGGCGGCGCTAAAATGAACAAACTCCGGTGTGTGTGGCTCTGCATACCTGGCTGAGGTGAGCTCTCTGCATGGCCGGGGTACAGGGACTGGAGTTGCTTCCGGAGCCCGACCTGGAGTGCATCTGAATGGGAAGGCCGGCAGCCAGAAGCACCCTGGCTAACTGGGATTCCTGGAGCTCCATCTGAAACAGGACAAACAGTCATAACTATTCCTCTCTTTCCTCCTGAGCAGGAATTGGGTCAGTTAAAGTCCTTATGTCTTATAAACCTCTCTCTGTCTGTCACCTAATAAATACTGCGGATAAGAATCTGAAAAGTGTGGCCTGCCTTTAAATTTATCCCTCATTAATGACGCCCATAAATACCAACCACGGTTGCCAAATGCTGAGGTTTCATCCCAAAAGTAATTACTGGTGAACCTTTAAATACTTCTAATTACTCCATAATAATTTATTGAGACATAATAACGGAAGTAATTACATTCATTTTTAAAATGAATACAGTTTTTAATGAAAAACATTTTTATTCTTAATTTAAAATCATTTTCAATTATTTAGTTATTTTATAGTACATTTTATATTTTCATGGCATATTTGATATTTGAATCACTTAATGTTTTACATTAATCACATTTAGGTATTGTATATCCTTGGCCCTCCTTAGATCTCACAATGATCGTGAAATCAATCTGATAACCTCCCAGCGTTGGGTCTGGAGACCTGCTGGAGACCTGGGGTGTAGACGCCCACCTTGGAAACCCTTTGGCCTCTCGTATCCCTGAATTATTATTATTTTTTTTGTAATTAAAGCACCAACATTTTATTCTTAAGGTGTTAAAATTGAAATGATAATATAATTACTATAAATTGCCGATCATGATATTATTTTAGACAGGCTTTAACTAGGCTGGTTTAAATCTTATTTATCTGACCGATTTCATTTTGTTTATATAAAAGGTACATTTTCCTCATGCTCCAAGGTTACCTGTGGAGTACCACAGGGATCAGAGCTAGGACTAATTCTCTTTACTATATATATGCCCCCAATTGGTTGAATTATCAGACAGCATGGGATTAATTTCCACTGTTTTGCTGATGACACTCAGCTATATCTGTCTATAAATCCTGATAGCTTTAACCCATTAGATAGACTTTTATCTTTGAAATCATTGCTTATAATTGCTTCTTTATCATTCCTACACCTGCGCCATCTTTCTGTTGCTGTTGTGTTTTCTCTTGCAGGGTGATGTAAGCATCGACAGACTGGACTTTCTGAGCGTTCGGCAACAAATCTTTTCATGAAACGTTAATTCTCGGGAGCACCAGAAGCTTTATTTCCCTCATTCTCGCCACCTCGAGCAAATGAACACATTTCTGGTTCTTGTGTCATTTACCACAGACTAGAATAATGTGTTGGCAGCATTTCTTCCACTGGGAGGGAGAAGCTGGAGGACAGAGGAAGCTAAATATGAGGCCTTTTGGGAACATCACACTGACCTGTCTGCTTGCTACCATGCATAGCATCCATGCTTAAAGTGAACGTACGCCAAGCTTTGGAAAAAGGAATACGAAAAATCCTGATTTATAAAATGATGCTGGCGCAGAAAACCAACAGTTTTTATTTACTGATCTCAAAGTTAACTCCCGGTGTTGGATGTCCTCTACAGCCCCGCATTGGCCCAATGTAGAAATAAAGCAGACGATCAATGCTATTTCACGGTCACTATGGCAACCGCTAAGCAGAGGGCAAAAAGCCTTATTAAACCAAGATAGAAATAGATGTGTTGGTGAGTGAGGAGGCGAGTCTGATAAACAAATTTGGTAGCAACAGTAAATAAAAGGAAGCTTAATTAATGTGGAGTAAAAAATGTTGAGATATGTCTGTTCTTAGCCTCAAAGGCTCCGAACGAAGATCATGAGAGATCAGAATGAGTTACACAGCCTCCTTCATGGCATGAAGGGGAGGACTGTTGTTTTGAGAAGATCCATCTGGTCGGTGAAAGGTATATTAACCTAACAGCGAATGGCCTTGATGAACTCAAGTTGTTTTTGCTCCAAATGTTTAAGTGTGAGAAAGTTCTTTATGCAGGGGGTGGGTTGGTTCCCCTGGGGGGAGTATATGTGTGTTGGGAGTTTCTGTAGAAATATGTATGTACTGAGGTTGCCTCACTCAGAGCTCTATCTCTCCGTCTGAGGACGTTAAATACATTTGAACCTTTTTTATTTGCAGGAAATGCCTCAGCTTCCTACTTTCACATTAATTAAAACGACGACGTCCAGACAGCGTGGAGCTGATCGCTGCCTGGGATATCTCGGATTTATAGATCGTTTCATAGAATTATTTTGTTTCTAAAGGTTTGCTTTGGGCAGAGAGTTAAATAATTGTGGATTATCGTTTAACAACTGTTTGGGAATCCATTGAATAGCCGACAGGAACCTCAGAGATGCTAACAGCTGAAATCAATGAAAAACATAGAGGAAAATCTGGAAAAGCAGTGCACCTGTCTGTTAGATTAAAGCAAGCAAAGATGGTGGCATGTCGGATAAGTCATCTAATTATATTTGAATGTTATTTTGAATCTTTGATAAACTGACTGCAGCATACATTTGCAATAATTGATGAATAGATTTTAATTTGATCCATAATTCTACCAATTGAGGGCATATATATCACATATATGTCTGAGGAGGCTTTTTTCTGTAAACGTTTCTCTATAGTCAAACACTTGTTCCTCTAACGACCTGTTTGAAGATGAGTTTATTTTTGTTGTGGGTTTTTTTTTTGCCCTCACAGCCATTAGTTCCTGTCTGGTTTAGCAGCAGCGATAAGAATAGACGTAAGAAACCACAGCAGCCCGGTGTCTGAGTTAAGAAATGTTCTGTCTGTATGAAATCATCCCATCCTCAGCTGTTACTGTTTCCACAGGCCCAGAAACAGACGCTCTGCTCCAGCCACTTCCTCTCTGAAGTTTTATTCTACCTCCATCTTTCTGATTCATCATCATGTTTGGTGAAAAACACAGACAGTACGTTAAGCAACCTGAGGTCATGAGCTCTATGCAGAAAAGCTAGAAGGAAAGGTGAAGTGTTGGTGACATCATAGACGTTCTGGCCTGTGGAGGAGAGCAAGGTTTACCGCTATGCGCTGGGTGTTTGCGGGGCGGCCTGCAGCGGCGGGGGAAGCAGCAGAACGAGCGGGAGACAGAGCAGCGGGTTTGTGCCCATTAAAAACGGTCAGCTTTTGGACAGGTGCGACCGGCGCTTCCCTTTGCCTCTGCCTCTCCTTCTCCTTCTGTCTGTGGTCGTGCTGCAGCGACAGGAGCTGGGTTTGGTCTTTGGGCAGGGTGCGGTGGGACCTCCTGCTCGCCGGGGGCTGCTGATGCTGGGCCACAGGCTGAGGCTTAGCTGGAGGCAGAAGCTGGGAATGCTGGGAATGCTGGGACTTGTGCTGAAGCAGCGGGTTGGGAGCCACGGCTCTCTATGTAGCAGACATAAAAAGCACCAAACAAACAGACAGAGACTGAAGGTAGCAGGATATAAAAATACATGCACAAGATTGGACTATCATCCAGAACTTTTTTAGCTCCAATTGCTGTGCAAACATTTACCATGACCTCAAAAGTATTCAAACCCCTGGAAAAATGACATCCAAGGAGGTCAGTTTTCACGAAATAAGAGTATTTTCTCTCGAGTTGAACAGATTAAACAATTCAGCCATAAAATAAGATGATTTATGTTTAAAATAAAAAAAGAGGACTGTAATATTTATATTTTAAGGCGATAAACACTCATTCCAATTTTTATTTTTTTTTAGTTCAATGTCGAACATTATGCTCTCTCTGCTTTTCTCATAGTAGCGTCACCTCGTCTGTTGCTGTTTGGCTGTGACTCCACTCTGTAGAGAAATACCAGCTGTGCTGCTGCCATCAACACCTTTGTTTATAGATGTTTGAGCTCGGCCTGTTTTTCAGTGCAGTCCTGTTTCTCTGACTGTGACTGGCTGGATGTGCTCTCTTCATCCTCTGACACAAAAGCTGGCACGGAGCTTGTCTGCCTGGCTGGCCGCCTTTTAAAGCTGCTTTTTGTATCTCTGCTTCTGTCTCCTTGAACCCCAGTCGGCCTCAGCAGACCTCAGAATCCGGCTCATCCACACTGAGCCTGATTCTGAAAAACTATGAACCAATGTGACTGTATGATCTGATGAACTGTAAAGTGCCTTGGGATGGCATGTGTTGTGAATTGGTGCTGTAGAAATAAACTGTATTGAATTGAATGATACCATTATTGGTTGCTTTAGCCGCTTATTTATTCTGACTGTCCAGCTGGTAGGTGGACCTCTGACTGGAGCCTCTAAAAGGTTTTCTTCCAGGATTGACTTTGAATACTGAAATATAAGTCAGTGTTTTATGACACAAGTCTATTTTCCTGTAACTAGGTAAGACAATTTGCCAATGGAATTTTATTCTAAGGATAAAAATACTCCTATTGGCTGATCATCTTGTCTACCTGCTTAAATCAAGAGCAAATACACAGATTTTAAGAAACTCTTTAACATTGACCAGATAACGAAAAGCAAAGCAAAGATGAGGCTAAACATAAATATAGAGCCCAGACTCTTTTTACCAGTGAGCCAAGTTTATGAATTCATTTCTGAGTCATTTTATAAAATCAGATCTTTTTACTTTACGACTCCATAAAGCTGTCAAGGGGCAAAAACGTAGGTGAAACTTCAAAAAGAGAATGCCACAAAATCTTCTAAGGAAAGCCAAAGTGAGATTTACTTATCCTCCACACAAGACACCAAACATACTATAAGGCATCAAACTCAAAGATAGGAGAGTACCAATCCACATGTACTCAAAACCATAAACAACGCTGCTTTCTTCACTATGAGTAAAGGCAAATAACTGGGTTCTACTGAGACTTGAACTCAGATCACTGGATTCAAAGTCCAGAGTGCTAACCATTACACCATAGAACCCTTAGAACTGTTTATCCCTCAAGGGTTTCTGGATTTCAATAATCTCTATCCTGAGTTCAGTTAGCTTTGTGGCATTTCCGCAAGTTAATCTTTCATGTCGGTATTGAAAATCTTTGACAAACAAAATTTGGAAAAACTGTAAGCTTCAGGGCTTTTCAAGTTTATGGAGTCATTGGTTGGCAGTGGCGTTTTTAATAGGTTCAGTGATTCTTCTTCTTCCATCTATGCATTGGATAGGCAGCCAAGAAGGAGAGAGAAGTGCTATTTAACTTCTTTAATATTCAACCGGATATTGAAACTTGTACATAACATCCATTCATTACACACAGACAGATACTTCAAGGGTTTCTTTATTGAAATGTCCATGATTAGAACTGACAACTAATGAAATTCCCAAAGTCAGTATTTAGGAAGACCAAAGCAAAGAAAGGATCCGTATGAACCTGAAATTTATGAACGTGTACAGTTCTCAATCCTTAGTTGGGGCCCCTTTGGTCAGGATTGCTGCAGTTTTGGAGTGTAGGAAGGAGTTGATCAGTCTGTGGTTATGCACAGGTGTGACGAGATACCAGGTTGCTCTGATAGTGAAATTTAGTTTTTCTGCATATTTAGGTCTGGAGTATCTAATCTTCCTCTTCCTAATACCCTGATAGATATTTAGAGAAACATAGAGACCCAGTAAACGACTCTACCAATCTGTCAAGGGGCAAAAATGTAGGGGCAACTTCAACAAGAGAATGCCAAAAAAATATTCCAAGGAAAGCCTAAGAGAGCTTTACTTATCCTCCACATAAGACACCAAACATACTATAAGGCACCAAACTCAAAGACAGGAGAGTAGCAATCCACATGTACCCAAAACCATAAACAAAAGCTGCTTTCTGTACTATGAGCTAAAGAGCAAATAATTAGGTTCTACTGAGACTTGAACTCAGTTTACTGGATTCAAAGTCCAGAGTAGGGTTGTCAAAAGTATCGATACTCAAAAAAGTATTGATACTAAAATGTTGTATCCGGAAACAATACTCATTTCTAAAGTGCAGAATAGAGGAAAATGCACTTTCTGAACAATGTGTGATTGAATAATTCTGTGCACTTTTCAGTTTCAGACTTTTTTTTGTAACAGTTGCAGCTGCTGAGAATTATTTTTGTTTCTTAACCGGTTTGGCTAGTGTCATTATGTGTGCAAAGCATAGCCAAGTAAGTAAAAACTTAATTTTAATTTTGTAAATTTTTTATCAAGCTTGCTAAATACTGTGCACAGCAAACAACCTCAAAATGTTGTTCTTATTGTTTATTGTATTTATTTATTTATTTTTATTTTAATTATTAATCAAAATATTTCTGTTGAAATTTTATCCTTGTGGTATCGAAAATGGTATCGAGTATCGAATATTTTCCTTAGTATCGGTATCGAGTTGAAAAGTTTAGTATCGTGACAACCCTAGCCCAGAGTGCTAACCATTACACCATAGAACCCTTAGAAGTGTTTATCCCTCAAGGGTTTCTCGTTTTCAATAATCTCTATCCAGGGTTTAGCTCACTTTGTGACATTTCCAGAAGTTAATCTCTCTCCTGTTGATTGTAAAAAAAAAAAAAAAACTTTGACAAACCTAACTTGGAAAAACTGGCATCCTTGCAGCCAAAGTGTTGTGCCATGACCTGCTGCTTGGCAAGAGCAGAAATATGCCAAAGCCCATGCGTTTTGTTATGAGGGACCTATTTTCTCACACATACCACAGTAAACTTTCAATATAATATTCTTAAGCTGGACTACTGTTTGTTTTAGAAATTAGAGCCCATTTAGAGAAACATAGTGAGCTAGTAAACAACTCTATGAATCTGTCAAGGGGCAAAAACGTGGGTGAAACTTCAACAAGAGAATGCCACAAAATCTTCTAAGGAAAGTCAAAGTGAGCTTTACTTAAGACACCAAACATACTTTAAGGCATCAAACTCAAAGACAGGAGAGTAGCAATCCACATATACTCAAAACCATAAAGAAAATATACTTTCTGTACTATGAGCTAAAGTCAAGTAACTAGGTTGTACTGAGAGTTGAACTCAGATCACTGGATTCAAAGTCCAGAGTGCTAACCATTACACCATAGAACCTTTAAATCCTTTAATTCCTCAAGGGTTTCTCGTTTTCAATAATCTCTACCCAGGGTTTAGCTCACTTTGTGACATTTCCAGAAGTTAATCTCCATGTCGATATTGAAAGACTTTGACAAACCTAACTTGGAAAAAGTGGCATCCTTGCAGCTAAAGTCTAGAGTGTTGTGCCATGACCTGCTGCCTGGAAAAGACCAGAAATATGCCAAAGCCCACTTGTAAAGATTGGCCTAATCACATTAAGTCTATCACATGCGTTTTGTTATGAGGGACCTATTTTCTCACACATACCACAGTAAAATTTCAATATAGTATTCTTAAACTCTACTACTGTTTGTAGCGCCCATGTTTAGAGAAACATAGAGAGCCAGTAAATGACTCTATGAATCTGTCAAGGGGCAAAAACGTAGGTGAAACTTTAACAAGAGAATGTCAAAAAATCTTCTCAGGAAAGCCTAAGAGAGCTTTACTTATCCTCCACATAAGACACCAAACATACTATAAGGCACCAAACTCAAAGACAGGAGAGTAGCAATCCACATGTACCCAAAACCATAAACAAAAGCTGCTTTCTGTACTATGAGCTACAGTCAAGTAACTAGGTTCTACTGATTCCGTAAAAGTTTTTAAAAATCCATTGGAATTGGTTTCCAAGATTTGAAGACGTTTCGCTACCTCTCCAGGAAGCTTTCTCAATTCAAATGTCTGGATCCGCAGTGAGTTTGAGTCTTTATATAGACAAGGCCTTGTATTGCTTGGCAACATGCAAATGGCAACCGATGAGTGGGTCGTTTGGTTCCATTGTTAGCCTGTAATATCTGAAACCTGTCTATGATTCTAAAGGTCGGTCGTTAAAGGGGGGGGGGGGGGGGGGGGGGGGGGGGGGGGGGTTGTCTCCTGTAATACCTGAAACCTGTCTAAGATTGTTAAGGGTCGGTCATTAAGGAAGTATTGTTCACCGGCTGGAGCGGGTAGGTGCTTTGTTCCTCTGTGATGGGGTGGGCAGTGTGTGATATCTGGAAGGGATCATCTATAACTGAATTGTAAGTTTTTGGAAGCTGGATTCTGAGTCCACCACCTCTGTTTAAAGGTAGTTTTTCTCTCTTAACATAGATGGCTTCCTTCACGCCCCTCTCAAACCACCTATTTTCTTTATCCAGAATGTGAACATTCTGGTCCTCAAAAGAATGTTGTTTGTCCACAAGGTGTAGGTGTACTGCGGAGTCTTATCCAGAGGAGGGCACTCTTCTGTGTTGGGCAATGCGTCTGTGGAGAGGTTGTTTGGTTTCTCCAATATTACACAGGTTTCAGATATTACAGGCTAACAATCAAACCAAACAACCCACTCATCAGTTTCCAAGCAAATACAAGGCCTTGTCTATATAAAGACTCAAACTCACTGCAGATCCAGACATTTGAATTAAGAAAGCTTCCTGGAGAAGTGGCGAAACATCTTCAAACCAAGTCCAGTGTATTTTTTTAAACTTTACGGAAATACTATGAACTGGATGACTGAGAACCTTCATCAGCAGTAGGTTCTACTGAGACTTGAACTCAGATTACTGGATTCAAAGTCCAGAGTGCTAACCATAACACCATAGAACCCTTAGAACTGCTTATACCTCAAGGATTTCTCGATTTCAATAATCTCCAAGTAGCTCCAAGTAGGTAACTGCACTTACCTGAGTAAACTCAGTGGACCAAGAACAACAACAGATGTCATAGCACAGCAAACCCTCACAGACTGCAAATGATGGTGAGATAGAGTTTATGAAGTTCTCAAATGCAGTCTCTGGTTTAGCACTAAGCAGATAAAGACATCAACTAGGTTCTACTGAGACTTGAACTCAGATCACTGGATTCAAAGTCCAGAGTGCTAACCATTACACCATAGAACCCTTAGAACTAAAGGGTTTCCCGATTTCAATAATCTCTATCCATGGATAGAGATTATAGACTTTGTGACATTTCCACAAGTTAATCTCTCATGTCGGTATTGAAAAACTTTGACAAACCTAACTTGGAAAAACTGGCATCCTTGCAGCCAAAGTCTAGAGTGTTGTGCCATGACCTGCTGCTTGGAAAGAGCAGAAATATGCCAAAGCCCACTTGTAAAGATTGGCCTAATCACATTAAGCTAAAGATGGAGGCTGTAAAGAAGCCAGAGAGTCTGAGGGGTAGAAATGCTTCTCCAAAGCTTTGGGGTTAATCTAAAACCTTGTGACATGGCAGTATGGACGCTCTATTGGAAGTCAACATCAGCATATACATTGGCTAACAAAAGTTTTCACACCTCTAGAATGTTTCCCCATGCCAGATTATAATCCCTAGGAGAAGTATAGTGAAGTAGCAAGAAAATTATACACAATGTGTTTTATTTTTCACAAAGAACAAATCTAAAAAGTTTTCATCCCTCCGTATACAGTGCTTTGTGGAAACACCTTTTGCTGTGATTACAGCTGCTAGTCTTTTACGGTTTGCATTAGAGATTGACTGATGCCACTTGAGTTTTCGGCATCTGTTAAACCGATCCCAGATATTTGCTGCTTCTTGGGGTCAATATTACTTTTTTCTCCCTCCATTTACATGACAAAATAAAAAAAAAATGTACCTGGTCCAAGTTAAAATAAATGTTAACATTTATTGACAAAATGGAACTAAACATTTAACAATAAAATAAATAGCAAATGGAGGCAAGGGCTCACATGCATTACATGATCTGAAAGTTTTGCTGATAAATGCATTAATGAATCGACCACCTGAATCCCTACAGGACAAAAAGGGCCAATATTGGCCTAAAATATCGGCCGACTGATGCATCAGTGTAGCTCTGTCTACCTCTAGCACAGCAGTACCTAATAAAAGGTGGAATCCAAAAAAAAAAGGAACAAGGTTACTTTAAACAGAATTTAACACTGAAATATAAAGCAGCTGTTTGTGCTTGCAAGTTATACATTGAATTTTTCAATAAAAAAAAAAAAATAGAACGTTTTTCCATTTTAAAATCTAAAGCGCATTTTGAAACAATCTTTCACAGTTCAGTATACAGACGATTTCCTGACTTTCATATGTTTTATAAACACCTGAACTTTTTTTTCCCCCCTTTCTTTCAAATTTTAATGGCTTAATGAGAGCAGTGGGCTTTATGCTGCCCTGCAAGGCTTTAAACCTGGGTTTGAATGGAGACAAAGCCATTCTAAAGCACATATCAAGGAGCTCATTTTGAGCCTGGATCCATATTAATTTTTGATTCTGTTCATGGTGGAGAATCCTGCTTCACAGCAGCAGGTTGAGCCAAACATCCTCTAAATGTGCAGGGTCATCTTTGAGCACCATTTCACTTTTCTTTCACCAGTTCACCACAGTTCTTCCAGCAGTCCACACTTTCTCTGCTCTCTTTTTCTCATCATCTTCTCCTTCTTTCCCATCGCCCGGCTTGCCACAGGTTTGCCTGCTGTGTCTAAAAGTAGCAGCAGCAGCAACCCAGACTGACAGCAGCTCATTGGCTAATTAGCATCACGTACAGGCAGGTGCCAGACGCTCCAGTGGGCTTTACCGTATTAACAGGAGAAGCTGTACAAGCAAAGTTAGACACTGCCGTCTGACAACATGCTGTAATTTATAAATGTTTTAAATCTGGTTGGATCCGGATTCGGAGCCCGGTTCACTAATCTGTGACATCTATTATAGTCCATAAGTGGGCCAGTGTGGACAAAAAAATGCCAGGGCCAAAAACTGTTCCCAGTCCAAGCCTGGCAATGAGCTTGTCGCAGGTATGACAGATATTTTAGATTTATGCCCAATATTAAAGCATGGTCTGTGCTGTTATTCCACACCACAACGCAAGAGGAACAATCACGACCTAGCTGTGGAGCATAGACTGGGTCGTAAATCATGTCACAGGGGAAGAAAGTATAGTTTCTTCCTCTGAGATGTTATTAGAAATACATTTTAAAACACTAATGGAACCAGATTATGGTCGTATTTCAATCTTTATAGCACACCTATATAGGGATGGGAATCGAAAACCGGTTCCTGTTCAGAACCGGTTCCGTATTTTCCGATTCCATGGCATCGTTTGGCAGCTCGCTGAACGATTCTTTTTTCGATTCCCGCAGCACCAGAGCCTAGAGCGCCGGCTCTGGGGAGCACGACTTACGTCACGTTTTTTACGTACGTTACGTAAGTTACGCAAGTTACGCAAGTTGGAAGAACTATTCGAGGAGGAAGACAACGAGCTGCGGTCACTTTGTGAATCAAAGCCCCGTCTTTCCTTAGCCCAGAGGGTAGATCAGGAAATCCAGCTCTATAAAAGCTTGCCCTCCATCCCCTGCAGGGATAGCGCCACACTGTGGTGCTGGAACAAGCAAGATACGCTGCCCTTGCTATCTGGACTGGCTGAAAACTACCTCTGTGTGCAGGCTTCCTCCACCCCATCTGAGAGGGTGTCCTCCATGGCTGGAGACACCATAAGCCCTGAAAGATCCCGTATCCTTCCAGAAAAAGCAGATATGCTCATCTTTCTGCAAAATAACTGTTAATTTTCCCTACTACTGTTTTATAATTAGTATTTTTTGTTATTTAAAATAGGTTATTATCCCATCATTTGTTATTAGACATTGTTGGTTATTAAGTTTGTTCTTGTATTAATTTTTCATTTAAACACAGATGTTACTCCAGTTTCACATTTCCTGTGGACATCTTGATCTTGTTGAGTTTGTAAGATTGTGCAATAGTTAAGTAAACAAAGTTAATGCTGATAATCAAACTGTTTGTTCTCCTTTTTTCCCCAAATTGGAATCGAAAAAAGAATCGATAAAGAATCGAATCGTTTCATAGAATCGAAAAGGGAATCGGAATCGTGAAAATCTTTTCAATTCCCAACCCTACACCTATACCTAGAAGGGATGTGTTAACTGGTCTGCATAAGATAACGGAAAAAAACAGATTTATGACAGGATTTTTTTTTTTAAATAGAAATTTTCTAAATTTTGGGAGAATATCATCTGATAAAAAGAGAACATTTATATACATGTTTAACCCAGAATGATTTGACATTTAAATATGATTCCCCTACGACTTTAAGGACCCACATTCAGCAGTTAAACTGGTTAACTTTCCTATCTACCATCAGCTTTGTATTCTGGGTCTTATCAGAGCAGGGTCTTGATAGAAAATCTAACAGGGTCACTTCCACAGCTGTGATGCATCAAGGGTACGAGCACAATTCCCTACGACATTAAAATAAAAGCGATAAACGCTGGTTTAAAGCTGCTCATAGAGCGAAGTCAGTGTCAGTGCTTTCCTCTGGGTTCACCAGAAACAAACTAACCAAGTCATTTAGCATCTGCCTCAACCTGCTTAATTCCCCAGCTTGTTAATGCCAAGCCTTTCAATTCATCCCAGTTCAACCAGTTCCCCCTTCATGTTTCTCTTCAGCCGCCTTTAACCCTCACTTTCCCTTTTGTCTCCCATCTGTCCACGTTAGGGAAGCAAACAGGAAGCTACCCGCTTCTCATTCAGGTCTTTTCTCTAACATATCAGTCCGTAGAGTCAAAACCTTTATAGCCTCATATAGAAAAGTCACCAAACATCTGCTAAGATTTTAATATTTGATGCGTCAAAGGTGAAAAAGTCGAGTGTATCTGGCATCTGAGTCCCAAAGCTCCATCCAGCCTTGAATGTAAGGAGCAGTTATCATCTTTAAAACCCAGAATGAGGTAAAAATGAATCAAATTCATAGAACTAGAGACAGTGGGGAATAGAGATAATAGAAAAGAATAAATAAAAGAGAAAAAGTCACCAGATTCAACAAAAACTTTCAGATTTAGTTGAATCTGTTGCTAGAGGAATAGAGGAATTAACAGTGTTTAATTGGAAAAGTAAATGAGCTTTATTACCTGCTCCGCTGCGGAGTCAAGAGGCCTCACTGATGCATTATCACGCTGCCTGCCTCCGTGATCCTGTCCACACACACAGAAACACGTCTGTAAACAGATAGCCGCATAGTAAAAACATCCCATGTCTCCATTTGGATTTATTTCTTCTGCAGAGATTTTTAACCTTGATTTGAAGGTTTCAGTTGATCGGACCTGCAAACAGCTCTCCCACACCCACTTGTTCTCATTATCTGGCAAATGCTGAGGTCTTCACGAGAAGTCAGAGAGATGGTGACTAAAATATTCACCGTAGAGCTTTTTAGTCTGCCCCTCAAGCCTAAATATTTCATTATGACCTCATTTTTAATTTCACCTGAAAAAAATCTAATCCAAACACCCTTAACTTTGCAACATCTATATTTTGGTAATTCATGGATTTGAATATTTGCAGTGCTTGCACCACTGCTTTTGAACGGTGTTTGTTCTGCTTGGACTGCGGGGGGGGGGTCACATTAGACGGAGCTTAAGCTGTGAGGGCAGCTTAGCGGGCCGCATGGCCGCGGCTGCAGACGTACGCAGAGCAAACTGCCAGTGATGAGACAAGGTGAGAGAAAACAAAAGCAGGAGTCAAACTGGTTTATGGTAAAGGAAATAAGTCCAGCTAATCTCATCACCATTAACTATATTTAAATTTCTGATTCAGCCATGTTGGTATTGAAATACTGCTTACAACTAGATCAATTGTTGAAAAACAGAACTTATGGATTATTTTTATTGATATTTAGCTCTTCGTGTTACGGAGACATCCTCTTTATAATTCAGAAAACTCATGTGTTTAACATAATGGCTGCTTATCAATTAACTGTTATTCAACAATAACATCAATTAACTTTAGATTAATTAATTAATCAATTACCTGCATCCCAATTTATAACATTTTACGTGTAAGAAAAACATAAAAAGGAAAACAGAACAGACAGTTATAACAGATAGACCCATCTAATGACATTTAGTCTGTATATTCGTATCTATTCATATCGTATCCTTAGATTTATATACCTAACCAGTTTTATTTCTGTTCCCTACATTATTTTGTTTTTCATTCTTAAAAAGTTACAAAAAAGAAAAAAAACCTGAAGGAAATCAATCCTCATGATTAGTATGGAAGGGGATCAGGGCCACTGGATAAAAATAAAAAAGTTAACTGCTTTTTATTTTATTTGAGTTTAATATGGGAAAAATAGGCATAACTCTGACATTTTTAATCTGAATTCTGACTTTTTCTTTACAATTGTGACTTTTTTCACAGAAAGAAAGTGGAACTTTTTTTTTAGACCACTTATTTTCATTGTTTTACGGAAGAGGATTATGGCCACTGAAAAAAAATAGTTAACTGATTTTTGAATTTTATTTCAGTTTAAGATTGGAAAAAGGTCAGTATTCTGACATTAATCTCAGCATTCTGCAATAATCTCAGAATTCTCATTTTTATCTCAAAATTCAGATTTTTTCTCAGAATGTTGACTTTTTCTATTGAAGAGAAGTAGGGCCATTGGGGAAAAATTTACTTTTTACAATTTTCAAATGAGTTTAATATGTTCCATATTCAATATCCACCCACATCCTGTGGGTGTAGGGTCATCTTTGAGCACGCCATTTCACTTTTCTTTCACCAGTTCACTGCAGTTCTTCCAGCAGTCCACACTTTCTCTGCTCTCTTTTTCTTTTTCATGCTCCAGAGGGCTTTACCGTATTAACAGGAGAAGCAGCGCAAATGAAGTTAAGACACTGTTGTCGGACAACATGCGGTTATTTTGAAATGGTTTTAAATCAGGTTGGGTCCGAATCCATGTTCGCTAATCCGTGACCTCTGATCTAGAGTCAGTCTCTAACCACCTGTTTGAGACGAAGGACAGGAAGACTTTAATCAGAGAGGCAGCAAAGACAGCTTTGGTAACTAGGGGAGATGAAAGGAAACCACATGTTAGCCACAAACCACAGAGAGGACATTTCGCGCATGTGGCAGAAGGTGCTGAGCTCAGATGAGGGCAGGAGTCAAACTGCGGGAAAAAAAAAGCAAAAAGCAGAAAATCTGTTTGAGCAGATCTAAACACAATAGACTAACATACCATTTCAGTGAAGGTAAACATGGTGACTACCCATCTGATCACCAGGAGGGCCGCCCTAACATGCAGCACCCTATCCCCCTACTACAGTATCTACATCTATGGCTCTGCTTGACAGGTAGACTCACAGGAAAGGGTTTTTACCGCTTTAAAAAGAAATGTCATTATTCATTTAACAAAAAACAGGATAACCCAAAGTGACTGACTTAACAGCCTCAGTTCCACTGAATGTGGAAGCGCTGCGCCTTCGCAGCTGATTACAGTAAATCTAATCTGTCAGAGCGGCTCCACCCGCCACTTCTCTAGAATACGCCGTGGTTCTATTTTTGACGCCTACGGCACCAAATCCATGTCGACCTGATGCAGGGCGGGTTGAACAGGCAGGAAGTCAGTCCATGAAAAGCAAAGTGGATCCAAGTAGAAGCAGTTTCTAGACTTTAATGTCAGAAAAAAAATCTGTGCACAGAGTTAATGGAAATGTTCACTCTTAAAAACTGTACTAAATGAAATTAAGTCTAATGCTACGTTCACACCTAAAGCAGCAGAGGCAGCAGAAGTAGCTAGTTTACATGAAAAGTCAGTGGTTGACGCTCATAAAGGTACAACGCATTTTGAGCAGCTGAAGCAGCGCAGGGTGAGCATCTGAGTATCTGACATGCACGGCGGTTCAGAAGCAGCAGCTAATGGAGTTGGAAAAATGTAACATTTGCGGCGGGACGCACCACATCAACCAATCAGAGAAGCTGATCTGGGAGCTGGTAGGGAGACAGACACAGCACTGCTGATGCAGATCGTTATGATCACTCACCTTAAACAGTTTATTAATGCCTAAATTAACTTAAAATTAGGGATTTTGGATTTTGGCCGATATCCGATATGCCGATATTTTAAAACTCATGTAGCCAATAACCGATACCGATGTTAAAGATGGACAAAAATAAATACTCATTGAAAATAGCAGTTTTGTTATCCATTTCTGAAACTTTGAAAAATAATATACTCAAATATATTTTCATATGCTGATATCAATTTGATTTTTTAAAACGCGGTATCGATCGATTTTACTTTCAAAATCTCGTGAAAGTTCATCGTTCTGTTACAAACTCTCGTGATATTTAGCAAATTCTTGTGAGATTTTGTTAGTAAAATAGATCGACACCGCGTCAATATATCAACATATAAAAATATGGCAACATTTTGTGGATTTTCGTCTTTAGAAGTTTTTAAGTCTGTAAAAAAGAAGTTTTTGAGGAAGAAGAAGTAGTATTTTATTTTTATTTTTTTTTTAGACTTTAGAAACTCAGAAGCTGATCAAATATCGGGTTAAATATCGGTGGGGTGGCCGATGTCTGATATTCAGTTTTAAGGCCGATACAGGCCGATACCGATAGGGGGCCGATTATATCGTGCATCCCTACTTAAAATGCCAAAATCCGCCGGCAAAATATGTTGGCTTTTATTATCCTGATTCCTGCAGTTCCAGCCGCCACGAACAGTAGCGACAAACCATGAAGAGGCGACCGGGCCAGAGGCTGCGGTTGAAGGGGATTCCTAGTGACAGAGCACCGCTGGTGTACAGGGGTCTGAACGGCTCTGACAGAGAAATAATATTTGAAGGCAGGATGGTAATCTGGATGAACTGACTGCACAGACAACATGCCGTCATTTATAAATGTTTTAAATCAGGTGGGGTCTGGATTAGCCAGCAGGTGGGTCCAGATCAGGATCCTGGTCCGCTAGTTTTTACCACAACCCTGGCCAATAAACTCACCTGTTTGCTGTTTTCAGTCACTGAATAAACAGTAACAACTGAGCATTTAAACACACTGCTCCACTGGAACCTTCTGCACCATTTGATGTCAGTAAAGGCAACTGTTGAGAACAACTTTATATCCTCCCATTTGTAACGAGGCTGGCGCGCGTGGTCTGCACCAACTTACAAATAATCGGAGGTATGCGACCTAGCACTGAGGCTGCGCGCAAGGTTCATACTTGGGGGCAGGGATGGCGTGATTGCTTCACTTTTGGTGCGCACATGCCTGCGCTCTGTTTGGCGCAGTATGTATAAACCAATCAGAATTCAGGCTTTGGTCTTAAAGCTAGCTGTTAGCAGAAAACCTGCAAACTGAGATCAGAAAAACACTCCTCACCTGTCTCCTCTCACACCTCCTGTTTTTCTCCCCCAGCAAGATTCTGTTGTCATGGAGCTCAGACTCGTCCCCTATAAAGACCTCCTGAAGCTCCGCCCACTGAACGCCACACTCAGCCAGCCTCTGCTGCTGTGAAGAGCAGAAATATTAAATGTTTATTGGTCGTTGTTGTTGGGTTTAGAAAAAGCTGCAGAGCTGGAAGGTGATGGAAGACGACATGTGCTTTCGGCCAGAGGAGGCTGAAGGTGGAGCGTCTGGCTGGAACCACGTGAAGAAGGAAGCAGAGTCCTTGCTGAACTTACATTCTCCAACCTCTGCCGCTGCTCCTGCTGCTGCTGGACCCGTCTCTGTCTGTCGGCCAGAATCTGCCTGATTCGTTCCTGTTCAGCCAGCTGCTGCCTGTGCTGCTGCTGCAGAGACACAGATTCATCAGCAGGAAAGGGTCTTCCTATAAACTACACGCCGCATTCATGTCCTTTTATGGAGGAAAATACCAATACGCATTATTTCAGTTTATTTTGTTTTTTTTTTAACTCATTTTCCCCTTTAAACACTACGGAAGAGTTAGAGCTACTGAAAAAATAAAAAGTTAGGTGATTTTTAAATATTTATTCCGTTTAATATGGTAAAAAATTCATAATTATGACTTTTTTCTCAGAATTCTGACTGAATTCTGACAGCTAAAAAACATGTTAGCATCAAGCTGTAGCCATGTCTGTTTTAGAGACTGAACTAGCTCTCTTGTTTTAATGACCTTCTGCTCTTCCATTAATGAAATACCATCACCAGGGACCCCTCGGGCACTTAAAACTTCAAGTAATTCCACCATTTTCCACCAATGTGTGACTGGCCCTCTTAAACAACTCACTTCTTTTTCAGTGAAGCTGAGTGCTCCCACATCTCTTCCTTCCTGGTGCCCTTCTACATTAAGATCCAAAATTCTGAGATTAAAATAAGAATTCTGAGAAAAAAGTCAGAATTCTTAGATTAAAATAAGAATTCTGAGATTAAAGGCAGAATTCTGACCTTTTTTCCCATATTAAACTGAAATAAAATTCAAAAATCAGTAAACTTTTTTTTGTTTTCAGTGGTCCTGATTCTCTCCAAAAAACACTGCAAATACGTGATCTAAAAAAAAAAAGTTCCACTTTCTTAAAATAATTGTATTGGTCCTTATTTTGAGCAGATAAAGGGAATAAGAATGTTGTTTGCTCTAAAATAAAAGAATTAGATATAGGGCACGTTTTATTCCAACAGCGAATAATTTTACCTGCTCAACTCAAGGAAAATAAGATATTTAAAGATAAATTGACTTTCTTGTATTTTAGTTTTAGCAGTGATAGGTGGAATGAGAAATGATAAAATGATTTATAAACCTTTACGTTTTAAACATTACACCCAAACCGTTGAACTTCCTCTCTCAGCTACTTTTAGCTCCTCTACAACATTTTCACTTCCCTTTTAATTTTTCACCAGTTTTATTGTTTCTTACCTCAAACCCTGATCTGAAAATAAGACACAAATTCACCTAAACAGGAGATTTTTTCCTTAATTTAAGCTGCCAAATAAGATGATCTACCAATAATCTGTCTTCGAACATAATAACTTAATAGAAATGTTTTAATTTCTCTGATAAACATAAATCATCTCATTCTATCAAAACAATGAAAATTTTAAAGAAAAACTATTTCTCAATGCGGTATTACTTAAAAAAAAATGCTTAATGTTTTTGTTGTAAAGAAATGGAAGCATTGGTCGTTTAAAGAGAGCGCTAATGGTTGATTTCAGATAAAGCATGAGCTCGATTTAAAGGATATGGACTGTGATAGGAAAGCAAGACAACAACAAAATATATATGACCCATTAAATTAACCTGCAAAAACTGAATACAAGTCAATGTTTCTTAAAAAGGGAACTTTTCAATTGATTTGAGGCTTAGGGGAGAGTTAAGTCAGACGATGCAGCAATAAAATAAGGTATAAGAAACAAACTCCATGATTTTAGTTCAAGGGCGTAAAACCTACTTATTTTATGAGCAAAAACACTAATCCCATTAGCGGATCATTTTATTTACCTGCTTAAGGTCAAATACACTGATCTTAAGGTTTCTTTTCTTATTTCGTTCAGGTTTTGCAGAGTAAAGGTCCAGAAGGGATCGACCCAATTATAATGGGTCTTTAGCAAAAGGTAAATTGGCTATTTTTCATCTGATGATAAATTAAGTGAGAATGCATCTAAAACGCTTTCCTTCAGCTTCTCCTCTGGGAAGAAGAGAGACACTGTACATTAAGGATCTGTTTCATAAATAACAGCCACTAATTGAACAAGTTAAATCTGATGATCCCTGCGGTGCAGTGAACGATGCTGAGGATATAAACTCTAAAACGATACATTCACTGGCGTCTGGCCCAAAAGGGGGCGTAAACGTTAAAGGCCCTTTCTCTTTAAAGACTCTAAATCAAGAATCGAACGAGGAATCAGACCCGTTTAAATTCAAACGATGGCTGACCCAAGTCACTAGTCAGAGGTTGTTAGGCTGGGAATCAGTGTAAATCTCTAACTAATTATTCATTAGAAACATGAGTAGATCCCGTTCAGCAAAGATATTCAGAATGACTTTAGTTTGATCCAAATTCCAGTGTTGCAGGTGTAAACCAACAACATCATGCTAAAAGAGAACCTGCCTGCTGTCGTTGCGGACCCCCTCCTCCTCCTCTGTGACCCCCCTCTCTGCCTCCTTCGCGATCTTCGGTCTGTAAGCGAAGAAACTCCCGCCTTAACGTCCATTCACCGGGAGCGTTGACGATGGAGCTGAGAGATGAAGAGAAACGGAGAGAAGTCAGACCAACAGGGTAGCGGTCTGGTCCACTGGAGGGGGCCAATCAAAACCCTCTCAGAGGTCCTCCTGGGAACAAACGCTCCATCAGAGGAGCCATCTGTTGTTGGGCATGGAGGGACACCAACAGAGCGACTCCTGCAATCTGTGGACAGGATTATAATCCCTGTTGGGCTGTCTGGGCACCGAAAGACAGAGAAGAACTCTTTTATAAAATCTCTGAGTGTATTTTGGGTTTCTGCATCCGCTAACAGCCTGACAGAGCAGTTCACCATCATCCGTCCCCAACATCCCATCTGGTTTCTTAAGCCGCCTGGCAGGAGCAGGTAAAATGGATGATTACCTGGGTTCACCTTCCTCCTCTGTGACATCATCTTCTTCGTCCTCGCTGCCGCTGTATTTAAACTCCTGATCCTCTACAAGAGAGAAACGTAGTGGTTAAAAATTCAGCTTCACCTGATAAAGGCTGATTATCAGCCTGATATGTTTGTATAATCAGCAGCAGGACAGGAACACAATGTTTGCACAACTTTACTCATTACTCAGCACAGACCACTTCCTGTTGTGTGGGGGCATCTACAAATGTCCATTTCCCTCATAAAGCAGGACATACTGTGCGATTTTTTTAATTGTTGCACGCAGCTACAGCTCACACTGTACGACAAAACTGCAAGGTTTCAGGTACCTACTCAAGTTAAGGGTAGCTTTTCCAGTGTAAGAACTGCATTGCTTTCACTCGTACTGGTGTTGGTAACGCCTCGGCAGCTTTAGTGAACACTAACACTCATACTCTAATGTGATATATGTGATGAAGGGTTTGTACTGAAACTGAAATCTCGATTGCAATGCAAATTGTAGTTTACAATAAAGAAATTGGTTGATTGAATGATTGCATTCCCAGCACAGATATCCATTTCTCTGTGTTTTCGCCACACTGGATCTCGGACCTTCCTTCACTATTTTAACACCCCACTGGGAGGCGCTTATAGAAGGCTACTTCCTCGTTCATGGTTTACACAGGAATGATTAACTCTAATTTAACGTTTTTTAATGCTCTTTTTAATTTTAATGCCATCAACAAGTACCCATGGCGCTCATATAAAACACGGCGAAATACTTCATCATCTTTACCATCGCCAGGCTGCAGCCTTGTCCTGAATTCCTCGTTTTCTAGCCACTTTTGTTGAAATGAGCATTTTCCCATTCTCTAGCTTTTTCTCTGTCTTGAGCGTCTTTTCCGAACGTACGGCTTTACCATCAACTGGAAGCAGTTCTGCGCAAACATGTGGAAACATTTATATCTGATAATATGTATTTGACTAAATCTTTTTTTTTTTTTTAAGCATGTTAAACGCAACGATAATCACATTTATTGAATTTTAATGCCAATAATTTTATAATTTTTTATGACATGTGGAAACCATGTGGTTTACTCTCTCAGCACACTCAGTAGGGCACCATGCACAAGTTTTTCCAACTTTATTTACTAACTGAACAAAAACAAAGTACGTAGCAATATTTCAGACAAACTTTGTATGCAGTCAGAGTGAACTGCTCACATAGAAATAGAAATCATAGAAATCATGTTTGTCTCAAATCCGTCCAAAAGATCTCTACTTGAATTAAAGCACCTTTCTCCAAGGAGTGCCTTCACAGTGGTCTGTGTGTGTCTGACAGCACAATGCAGCTCAAGAACAGGTCACAGTTGGTCAAGACTGGACCTGAAGTTGATGTTGGATTAGATTAAGAGTTCTCCAAATGAAACTTCTACACCAAACTTGTAATTTATGAGCGTACAAATAGGTGAATTGTGTTATCAGTAAGTAGGGCCGAGGACAGAAGCCCGCTGAACAGTACCACAAACTGTTGCTCATCTGGCTGCTTAAACTAGAATGTTTTTTCCTCATCGCTGAACATGGAAAACATGGCGCCTGGTTGATCTTTCACTTCTGACAGTCCTGATTAGAGATAGAAACACGACCATGCGTTCGTCATCCATTACTAGATTCAGCAGCTGTGCCTTGCTGTCCATCGCTAATGTTTTATTTGATTTGATGATAGAATAAATTTTTTTTTCATATTCAGTAAGTTGTGTAAAATGTGTAATTGTGTCATCTTTACATGTTAAAGGAGGATTAGAAAGTAATGCTGGCTCCAAGAACGGGCCAAAACATATAAAAAAATAAAATAAAAACATTTTTGTCATGAAAAAAGTTTGTTTGTTTTCTCAGTTTCTATTAAAAACCTTTTTTATATAATCACTTTTTTTCCAAAAAGTATTTCATATGTTCTATTTCCTTTTTTTTGGTCAAAATTCATTTTTAAGACAGAGTTTTACAAGTTTGGTTTTACAGATCTCTACTTCATCCCTATGCAAACATCCACTCATTGACAAATTCAAATCCAGTAGACCAATAGAAATGCGTCTTTGCTCATTACTGCAGAGGAAAGAGCCTCTAAAAGTAAAAAGAACACAATTTGTACAAATCTGGGGAAAAAAAAGAAATTTGAAAAAACAATTTGAATATATAAAATCTGTAATAAAAAATATAAAGATTGTAAAAAAAAAAACGGTGAAATACATAACAATAACAAATGTAGAAACATTAGGCTTCACAGTTGGGTGTGCGGTCGGTTCAGTGACCCATGTACTAAGGCCTTAAGGCTGATTTATACTTGTAAACTAGGTCGTCTGAGTAGGTGTCGCAGTGAACTCAGAGACATCCCCGCCCCTTCCGCAGACACTCTGCTGCACCTCTCCCAAATTGTAGGTGACCGCAGACAGTGCTGCAGCTGGAGACCGGCTTGTTTTGTTTTTATGACCGCAATTGTGGAAAACAACATGTGAAGATGGACCAGCTAGAAGAGCGAGGCGCACGACAACGCTGGGACCCTTTTTCCACCTGGATCCCCGCTATTTTTCCCCCTCATGTCCCTCTGTTGTCACATAAATTTGCCCCCACTTCCACACCGCCTCGGCCGTATCTAGACCCATAGTGTTTAGTGCAGACTAAAATTTAGCATAAATCAAAAATGTCTGCGTCAAGCTCACTGCGACAGTATAACCAGCCCTTTAGTGGCTGACCTGGATTCGAATCCGACTTGTGGTCCTTTCCCGCATGTCTCTCCCCCTCTCTCATACTCCCTTTCCTTTGACGGCCTACTGTCAGAAAAACGAGCAACTATTGCTGTAAAAACTCAAAAAAAAGGGGCTTCCCAGTTTGATTTCTGGGTTCCATTTTTATTTTTTTGTGTTTCAAGTGTTCTTTGCTTACAACGATAATTAAATGAACCCGCTTGATTGCCGTGCAGCTGTTCAACACACACCGTAGGACCAAACCTAACATAGCTATGATCTTTAGGTCTCCGGTTTTGCAAATTAGACGTTTTTAAAACCAGCCAGTTCATGCTCACAACACCTACCACAAAGGAAGCTGTTACTCAGTGAGAGACGCAGTTGGTTGATGTTCCTCAAAAAAAGGCAGATTTACATTTTTTTTTGCTGCAAAAAGAACATGTCAGCTTTTTTTGAAGACATTCAGCTGCTGACAAGAATCTTTTAGCTGCAACAGTAACTTTGGAGCGACTAGGAGTAAATAAAACAGTCATCAGCGTAGGTGATACAATCCACTCTAGCAGGCAGAACAGAGGATAAATCATTGGTATAAAGGCACCAGTGGTGTAGGGTTAAGGCTTTGGTCCTAGATGTTGCCTCCACAGGTTCAATTCAATTTCAATTCAGTTTATTTCTATAGCGCCAATTCACAACACGTGTCATCTCAAGGCACTTTACAGTTCACCAGATCATAGAGTCAAATTGATTCAGTTTTCTATCTAAGGAAAACCAGTTGATTGAATCGACTCATTGACTGTAAGGCAATCCCTCACACTAAGCATGCTTGTAGCGACAGTGGAGAGAAAAAAACTCCCTTTTAACAGGAAGAAACCTCCAGCAGGTTTATTGCTACGTTCAGACCGCACGCTGCAGAAGCAGCAGAAGCAGCTAGTTTACATGCAAAGTCAATGGGTGACGCACATCAAGGCGCAGCAAAAGGCCCTGCAGAGCGCCTCATGAGCTTCTGAGCAGTGAGCGACCTGCTGCGAAAGCAGCTACTGGAGTTGGAAAAACTGAACTTTTTCTGCTTGACGCACCACATCAACCAATCAGGGAAGCTGATCTGGGAGCTGGCAGGGAGACAGAAACATAGCTGCTGATGCAGATCACTATGATCACTCCTCTGAAACAGTTTAACGCCTAAATTAGCTTAAAATGTCGAAACCAGCCAACAAAATATTTTTGCTTTTATTATTCTGGTGCCTACAGTTTGGATTACGTACGTGAAAAAAGCTAACATTTACTTCCAGTCGCCGAAAAAAAAAGCAGCGAACTGCGAAGAGCTGACCGGGCCAGAGGCTGCTGTTGAATGGAATTCTAGTGACAGCGCACCGCCGGTGTACGGGGGTCTGAGCGGCTCCGATAGAAATAATATTTGAATGCAGGATGGTAATCTGGATGAACTGACTGCACTGATGAGGTTTTCAGGTGGACTTTCTCACTTAAACATATTAAAACTACTTTTTACCCTCTTAAAACAGCAAATATAGCAAAGCTGCTCTTTCATTGAACACAGGAGCAACAGAAGCATCTGGACACACTTTACTGGACGCACTTCAGGTGCATTAAACATGCTCTTGAGGCGCATCTGACCTTAATGTGAACATGTATCAAAAATGAAGCAGCAGAAGCTTTTTTGCTGCTTCCAGCGCTTGCCGTCTTAACTTAGCATAGGTCTCCACCTGTTGATTAATTATTTGCTGCAGGCATTCTCCCTCTCTAATTTTATTTCCTTTCTGCCTACTAACAAAAAAAGCCTCAAAAAGCTAAATAAAAATGGGACCTCTCACTGAGGAACACCTGTTGTCTTTAAGTGGCTCAGATTTTTAGTTATTAATCGAGACACATTTAAAAAAGTCAATCAAGTTCACTGCAATTAATGATAAATTAAATCATCAAAGCTTGTCCACAAGAAATGAGTTATAAAGCCGATCAGTATTTATTTTCATAGCCACATCTTTTACAGCTCATAAGCACACAGGAAGTGTTTTGTTGTCTTTTCTTGGGGGGGTGGGGGAGTCTTGGAGCAACATGTGGACAACATCTGTTTTTAAGAAATCAGGCAAATCTGAGCAGTGACTAAACTCTCCAGATGTTCACATTTAAGGTAACACAACACAGGTGGAGCTGGTTAAATCAGGGCGATGGGCGATGGAGGAAAAGGTTGACAACTTTTCTTTCCTCAAACCCCCCCTCCCATACTGTGATGTAATGTAAAGCCGTCTCCAAACCCTAACTAGAGGAGAAAGGAGCGATTTCTTGCTTTGTTTATTGTGGGGTGATACATCTCTGTTCAGACTACCCCCTTTGAGGGACGCCAAATTATGACACGTCCTCGACGCTTCGCATTCAGGGTGTTGGTTTCTTCTTCTTAAATTGCTCTCTCTGCACACAACAGTCATGCTGGGATGTTATCCAGTGGGGCATGCACACGTTCATGGATCCAAACGCACGGTCACACCGAGCCGGCAGAAAGTCTCCAGCCATTTAGTGTGCTTTTGGAAGCTCAGAGATTAGAACCAGATGGTCATTCTGTTTCCTCCTTCCTTCCTCTCAGCGTCCCTCGGCTCACTCTTCCCTCTCAGCTCTGCCTCTCTTTCCCTTCAGCAGATAAACTCCAATAAAGCTCTTAGATCTGATAAGATTTATTCCCAGTGCATGAAGTGCTGTGGTCTTTAAACCTGGCTGATATTAGCGTCGCTAATCCAGCTCATCCAAGGAAAAGCAAGAGGATAAATTATTTTTCACAACCACGCTCCTCCCTCTGTCTCACATTCCAGCTGTGCTGGCTTTTGTCTGCCTCCATCCCTCCTAAATCCCTGCTTCCTTCCTTAAAAAAGAAACACGTCAGAGTAGCAGAGCATTGTGGTAATGGTGTCAGAAAGTGAAGACTGAAGTCTGACCAAGAGCAGTTGTGTAAAAATGTGGGTTACGGCTGCGGCCAAGTGAAACATTTCTCTAAACTAAATGTTGTAATGAAATTCTGGAGCTTGAGAAAGCCTTAGCAAAGGAAGTAACAGAAGAGATATATGGTCACAGTAGAATCAGATCTTTTTTTAGACATCGAGTAGATTTTTCTTTACTTCAAGTTCACCTGCAAAACCTTCTGACTCAAACCATCGGCGTTACAGGGAGTCCTGCATTCTTCAGCCAATCAGAAACGCTCTTTTGATCACGTGACACACCAGGATGCCAGGCAGAGACTGGTTTCTAAAGGCTGGTTTATGCTCAGAAATCAAGTCGTCTGCGTGCACCTCTCCAAAACTGTAGGTGATCGCAGACAGGAGGCCTCTGATTGGTCAAATCTACATCCGCTCTACACTATGCGTACTTCCTGTTTGGTACCTAACCGGCTTGTTTTGTTTGTATGACCACCATTGTGGAAAACGACTCGTGAAGATGGACCAGCTAGAAGAGCGAGGTGCACGAGAACTGGGACCCTTTTTTCACCTGGGTCCCCGCTCTTTTTCGCCCTCATGTAGGACAAACTTGCCCCTTGCTTTTTTCCACTTCCTCATCGCCTCGGCCGTATCTAGACCCACAACTAGTTCCTGATTGTCCCTCTTGTGTTGTGGCGTAGAATAACATAGCGGAGACCACGCTTTAATATTGGCCATAAATCCAAAATGTCTACGTCCTACCTGCATCAAGCTCACTGGGTCACACTGCTGCTGGAGGATAACCAGCCCTTTAGAAGTTAGCTTTCATCCGATCAGTCAAACGTCTCACCAGAGCCGTGGAAATACGTGCTAAACCTCCTTTCCAAACGTTTTGGGAACTAAGGTAAGGGCTAGAAAAACCTGCGGACAATCTCTGGACAGGTGTGTCATGTGATCAAATGAGTGTATTTGATTGGCTACATATTGGATATATAGATATAAATGTAATTTGTGATATATATGCGTATGTTTGTGATATTTACTGGCACATTTTTTATATATATATATGCAAATGTGGGATTTGTTAAACTATAACTTTCTAACTTGTAACTGTAACTTCTAGACTTGTATTCTGACTGATAAGGATCTGATATCAGTGAAAAATTCAGTGTTATAAATTAAATGTCAAAATAAATGTCAGATTCTTATGAAACTATATATTTTCTATGAAGCAGAAATTTTCCTGCTGCACAGACTCAACAGGTCGGGTCAAATCAAAGTAACTCAGCCTGTCCGCCTTTTGTCCTCACCTTTTTCTCGCTTCTTCCTGGTTCGGTCCAGGTGGTCCTTCAGCATGATGCGGACCTGCCTCTCGTTCGCCAGGTCCCTGATGAAGGCGTGCTTCAGCAGAGCGTCCGTGGTGGGGCGATGCATGTGGTTTTTCACCAGGCAGCTGTCAACAAATGACAAGAAGCGCTTCGACCTGTGGAGAATAAGGGGAAGGAACATCAGATACTCCATTACTGCAAACCAGCAATCCCTTCTTTAAGATGATCGAAATGCAACTCAGCCATTTGAGAAATGTTTTAATATATGCTTTAATGTATAACTTTAATATCTTATAACTTTTTACAGATAGAGTCATCCATAAAAATAATTTCTTCCTGCACCATTTTATGATACTGACAAAACTGGATTCATGGCTTTCCAGAGGTGCTTAAATAAAATAGAAATGCTGCGATTAAAAAGTGGGCGGGGCTAAATAAGGCGACTGAACTATCCCTGCATTTAACCGCATATAAACCACAGCTTCTTCTCAGACCCACCCAAGGCTTGCCTCATTCTTTACTTTAATGTTTGGCCTCCAATGTTCTCTGAACAAATGTTTTTAATGACACTGGATTTTATTTAGGGGGATTAAATCAAATCCACTTCAATAAAACCCCAAACAAACAACCGCATGTGACTTTTATTTACTACAGAAAAAGAAAAAAAAAAGAAAACTAAGAATCATTCAAAGCTTTGGCTTCGTTTGTTACCGCTTATTATAGAACATTAATGAAAGAAAAAAAAATTTGACAGCTTTACTAATGAGTAATTTTATTTTTTTATAAAAAGTTGTTTCAAGTAAAAACCAAATCATTGCTTTAAAAAAAAAAAAAACTGGCAGCAACTTTGTTTAACATGATAGTCTGGAATAAAAGTTTAAGTTAAGATGTTTAAATCAATTTGTGCCCAGAAACCGGTCGATTTAGAGAACCAGAAGTTGGCAACAGAAAATAAGAATAAATCAAAGAAACAGCAAAGTCAATAATATTTACTTCAATAGCTGCAACTGCTTCCAAACTTTCCTCCAACCAGTTTCCATTCCTTCCAAAGAAAGTTTATCACCTCTCAGCAAAAAGCCAAGTCTGACATTTCGAGGCAGAATCTAACAACAAAACCACGGAAAGCCTAACATGACTGTTGTCCGATTGTGGAACGAGGAAGGGAAAGAAAAATGGATTGCTGCCTGGTTTCATCGCCTTAGGGAGGCCTCGGGGTAAAAGCGCTGCACTCTGGACCAAACGCAGCTATTAAAAGCTGCTCGGAGAAAAGGCGTTTCTGATCGTATTAATAGTGAATGAAAGACAGCCGCTAGGGTCAGCGCAGAGTTCAACTGGAAGAGCTTTTCTATTAAGTATGGATGGGCAGGAAGTGCAAGGAGGCAAAAATCAAAATTTGATCTAGATGAAAAGTATATATCACAAACACTACTATCATGATGCAGCCGCTATGGCACCAGCTTCATATGGTGGGATGCAATCTTAGCTGATTTAATCAAAGAATCTTCTAGAGCAGGGGTCACCAATTAAAAATCAGCAGGGTCAGAATAAAGAAAATCATCACCCAGTAAAGGTCCAGAGAAATTTTTTTATTATAATCTGTTACTTTAAACAAAATTTAACACTGAAGTAAAATGAAATTTTGGTGTATCCATGTTATACGTTGAATTTTTTAATAAAAAAAAATTGAAAAAAAATCTTTCCATTTTAAAATCTAAAGTGTTTTTTGAAGTATAATACAACAATCGTTCACTTTGGTAAATAGACAATTTCCTGGTTCAAATATTTTATAAAACACCTGAAATGACCGTTTGTTTTTTTCTTCCTCTTTCTGTCTTAATGTTGGCAGTGGGCTTTATGCTGCCCTGCAAGGCTTTAAACCTGGGTTTAAATGGAGGTAAAGCCATTCTAAAGCACATATCAAGGAGCTCATTTTGAGCCTGGATCCATATTTATTTTTGATTCTGTTCATGGTGGAGAATCCTGCTTCCCAGCAGCAGGTTGAGCCAAACATCCTCTAAAAGTTCAGGGTCATCTTTGAGCACTATTTCACTTTTCTGTCAACAGTTCACCACAGTTCTTCCAGCAGTCCACACTTTCTCTGCTCTCTTTTTCTCATCATCTTCTCCTTCCTTCTCATCGCCCGGCTTGCCACAGGTTTGCCTGCTGTGTCTAAAAGTAGCAGCAGCAGCAACCCAGACTGACAACAGCTCATTGGATCATTTGGATCACTTGTAGCCTGGTGCTGGATGCTCTGGAGGGCTTTACCGTATTAAAAGGAGAAGCAGCGCAAGCGAATTTAGACACCATCGGACCAAATGCGGTAAGTTATAAATATTTTAAATCAGGTTGGGTCCAAATTAGCCAGCAGGTGGATCCAGTCCCAGGTCCGCTAATCTGTGTCCGCTGTTCAAGAATGTCTGATTGTCAGTGAATTTTGTTCCTTTATTGTTTCAAGCAAGAAAAGCCGTTTGTAAATAGAAATTTTAATAAACTTGATCTGCTTTAAGAGTAACTTTTCTGTCTTCTCTGGTTTAATTTTTTTATTCTTTTTTATGTTATATATTTTTGGGTTTTAATTAATGCAATCTTTTTAAATTGTGTTTTAAAGATTACATTGTCTTCCCTTTAAGCTCAATGGTAACGCTCACTGTTCACCAATAAAAATGTTGCTAAGGTCGCTCTTTACTGCAGAGGAAAGCCCGCCCCAGAGATGACGAGAGAAAAAATAAAATTTTAAAGAATTAAAACGTGTATTTTTCTTTAAAAAAATACATTTTGAAAAGTAAAATGTGAAACAAAATAAAATAAAAGATTTAATAATAATAATTGATTAAAGAAAACAGTAAAGTTAATTTCAAAAACCTTTTTTAATTAGGATGTTTTAAGATGTTTGATTTCTGGATTACTTTTTTTATTTTATTTGCCTTTGCAAAACATCTGTAAAATCTGTGAGCTTTTGAGAGGGGATTTCACTTCTTACCACTTCTTTGATTTGAGTCTGGGCGCGGGGTTTCGAGGAATCAGGAACAGCGCTCTCATTGGATGCATATCGCAGAGAGCTGCAGAGGATCCGCCGAGGGAGAGACGCAGCGTGACGCAGTCAGCCATGGAGCAAAGACAGAGGGAGAGAGTCAGGATCACTGACAAGAGGTTCACCAATCTTCACAGTCATGTGGGGAAAGTCAGTAAACCCATACGATTTAAAAAAAATTAGTTATTTCTATGGTAAAATCTGATTTTTTAGCAGCAGTAATATAAATGATGTGACCATATGAAGTTTTCCTTTGCAGTAGTCCTGCAGGAGCTCACTGAAAGATCAGTGCTTCTATGTTCATTTTCTATGTCTGGTTCTGTCTCCTTGAACCCCAGTCGGCCTCAGCAGATGGCCGCTCACACTGAGCCTGGTTCTGCTGGACGTTTCTTCCTGTTAAAAGGGAGTTTTTCCTCTCCATTGTCACTGCATGCATGCTTGGTATGAGGGGATTACTGTAGAGTTAATGACAACATGAATATCTACATTCTCTACCTGCTAATCTGGGAGGAGTGAATCCTATACAGGCAATGACTGGATGTAATTCAGCTGGTTTTCCTTTAACAGAAACTTTTAAGCAATCTGACTGCATGATCTGATTGAATTGTCTCTATAAAGTGGCTTCAGATGACATTTGTTGTGAATTGGCGCTAGAAAAATAAATTGAATAGGGAAATCACACGACAATCGCTTTGAAAACCATCGTGTGACCCCCCCACTTGGTAATTCGCAACGCCCTGGAGGGTTCCCACCCCTACTTTGGGAACCCCTGCTGTTGTGTCTATTTGTATTAAATATCAGAAGGTCAAATTTTCTAGCAGTATCTTCATTTAATGACACAAAATTGCCCCCAAAGCCAAACTTTGGACACCCTGTTTTACCACAATGAGCTTTAAATTATTCTGAAAAAAATTTTAACCTTCACACCAAAGAAAAAGGCAACTTTGCTGCACGGTAGTGAAGTTGGTAGTGCTGTTGCTTTGCAGCAAGGCGATTCTAGATTCGAATCTCTCCGGGTACTCCGACTTCCTCCAACAGTCCAAAAACATGACTGTTGGGTTCATTGGCCTTTCGGTGTTGCCCTGCGTCAAACTGGCAACCTGTCCGGGGTGTACCCACCTCTCACCCCTATTGTCCATATAAACGAGCCACTAGTGCCGTAAAAACCCCAAAAAACAAACAAAAAAAAAGCAAAGGGAGCAACTTTCTAACTAGCATGCAGCAGTACCTCAGTTTCATAAATCAAGTTATAGTTTTCCTGCAGTGCAGCTTAATGTATCATGGGATAAATTTAGGATGAATGGGTGAACAAACTTTTCTCCATGACTGCAAAGTTCTACATTCAACATGTTTGTCCTCTACGTGTCAAAGTAATAGTAACTTACGAGGCGCTCCTTCGGCCATCTCCAATGCAGTGATGCCTAATGACCAAAGATCGCTCTAAAAAACACAAGACAAAGTAAAAGAGCTGAAGATGAATACAAATATCCAAGCAATAACCACATTTTCTATGGTGGTCTCTGTGTGATTCATAGACATAAAAAGAGTCTGACATAGTGGAAAAATAGCAAATATTTTGGAAAGTAAGCTTGTATGAGCGATGCACACAGCAACGTTTAAACAGAGCGAGCACAAGGAGATGGCCTGGACCAATATGAATCTGAGTGAAATAAAGGCCCTGTCCTATATTAGAGGATTTACGGTAGGCGTTCCCTCTCAGGAGCGGGTACAGCGTTATGCACGTGCATTTTTTTTTTTTTTTTATCCTCCACTATACCTATAAATTACAAATAAACTGATGAAATGTTTGGATTTACAGCTGAAACCAGATATTTACTATAGAAAAAAAACACTTTTTTTTTCTGTCTGTCTGACATGAGATTGTTTGCTAGGTTAGTTCAGCTACAACTAGCAACACTGTTTCTATCAGCCTGTACGCTGCTGGTGCTGATTGAGGTTTGCTCAGCCTTCAGCTCGTGTTCTTAGCATTGTTCATTTGAGACCGAGTTAACGGCTGTGTGATTTCGACCTCCAAACATTGAATATATGACAAAGTTGTCCTAGATCGTGTCTTGACCAGTTGCTTAAACATTTCCATAAAATATTGCTTCCTTTAGATCTTATTGGAGGAAAACCTCTAAATCTGAAGACATCAATTATAAAGAGCTCTCTCTCATTATTCGGCCATTTACACAATCAAATAAAAAGTGAACCTAAAACAGGAAGATTTAATCTAAATTAAGCAAGAGATAGACTAAAATATTATATCCTTTTGTGTTTCATTAGATCAGTCAAAAACAATTCTTCCAGCTAAGATGTTTGATAAAAAGAAAGAAATAACAAATCACACTACCTTTAACATCTCTTTCTATGGGTGCAAACTGGACTGAAATGTGTATAATGTTTGTAGTCATACGACCATTATAAATTACATCGACTTGGAGGAAGCTTGAATCAGAACAGTGGCGGCTGGCCAATGTAGGGTGCTAGGGCGCAGCCCCACCCACCCATTGACCCTTATTAAGACATAAAAAATATATATATCTATATGTATTTTATTCTAAATTAATACTTAAAATATTTCAAAATATACAATACATATCAATTATACAAATATATTAATATGAATTTCTTGCAAATATGCAAATAGTATATATATATATATATATATATATATATATATATATATATATATATATATATATATATATATATATATATATATATATATATATATATATATATATATATATGGCACAAGAACCGTTCTTTTCCAGGACCTGGTTTAGCAAGAAGGCTTGGTTAACTGCATGCAGGGCGGCTAATGCTTTACTCTTTTTCAAAAGTCAGCATAGATAAAGCATAGATAAAGACAGGTAGGGCGGATTTAAAGCACTTTTTAGAAAACGCAAAGAAGAATGAACAATCTACTTTTTCTAGATGTTTGTTAATTTGCATAATTGCTCTTAAATAAACACATTCTCAGAAAATAAAGTTTTTATATATTAAAAAATGATAAAGCTGAATAATAGCTTCTTCATTATTAAAGTGGTACATTTTTTGGGGGGTTTGTGACACAATATTGGACCATGAAAAACACAAATTTGCCTTCACAAAGCCTCAGAAGGACAAAATTTATGTATAAAAAGTTCAATTGTACATGAAGTTATTTTCTTTTTTTTATAATGTTTTTTGGTGTTGGTATTCATATGAACATATTGGTGTGATAATTTAGTATACGTTTGGTTGGTTTTTGGTATACGTCTATTTTGAATTTATAGCCCCCCCTGGAGAAAACTCCACCAGCCGCCAATGAATCCAACCCAACATTTCAGCACCAGGCTGTAGCCAAAGTGATGTTAACATATTTTACCAGTTTAGAACCACATTCCTTAAATTTCTCTACTGCAGTCTTATAAGAATTGAGGTTTGTAGTCGAAGAATTACTCTATAATCATAGGTGGCATCTGGATTCTCGTCGCAGGCGATGACCTCTGGAGCCATCCAATAAGGAGTACCAATGAACGTGTTCCTTCGACCAATCGTCTTATCCAGCTGAGCCGACACTCCAAAGTCAACTGGAATGCAAAATTGTGAGAAATTATGGATGAAAACACACAAAACAAATGTTGTTTGTTTTCCAAAGTTCTGTTTACGGTGCTGTGCTGCCAGAGGCTTAATAGTTGAGGATCTACTCTGTAAATGGATGCAGGCTGTCTTACCCAGTTTGACCTCAGCATTCTCAGTCAATAAGACATTTTGGCCCTTTATGTCTCGATGGATCACATGATGGGAGTGAAGATGGGAAAGACCCTGGAAGACAAATATGTCTAAAATGAGCCCATCAGATGACTAACAGTATAAAAGTGGCAGATTGAACAGCTTCATCACATGTCTGACTCCATACACCCCAGGATTCATGCTGGCTTTGTGACCCGACCCACATTTAAGGGAACAACTGTCAACATTCTTCCACTAAATAACACATTTTATGACTATGAGGGGTTTTAATACAAAGTCTGGCTTAACTGAGAGAAGCTGATAGATAACTCTGAACATCCTGTTAGAGAAAATACTTTAAAGCTATTTTGTGCTCCACTTTTTCAAGACTGACACCCCATCTCCTATTGGAAATAGTTAAATACTTATTTCCCCTCAACTTCAGCTTTATTATTACCAGTGGTGAATAGTAACAAAGTACATTAACTTGATTATTGTTCTTAAATACTTTTTTCACACATCTTTAGTTTACTTGAGCATTCCAAAAAAGTTAGCAAAATGAATCCACTAGACTTTGTTTGAAGACGTGTTGCTTCCCATCCAGGAAGCTTTTTCAATTCAAAATGTAACAAACAGCGTTTAGTTCAAGGCTTTTGGCTTAGAAAACATGCAAATCCAGTTCTTAAGTTTTTTTTTTGGTTCTTGGTTGGTTCTTGTGTTGGTCTTCTTTTCCCTAGCTCCCTTCTAGAATCCTCTGTTCACACCTGCTCCCAATCAGCTCATTAGTCCTGTCTTTGTTCAGTCTCTCATACATACTCTCCCTGTGCAGTTCCTCAGTTCTGGTTCCTTGTCTTTTCCTGGCTCTTCATACTTGTTTTCCCTGATGTCTCCATCGTTCTGTTTTTTTCTGTACTTTTATGTTGGATTTTTGGATTCCTGCATCAGTTGCCTCTGAGTACTAAGTGATCAACTCAACTCTGCCTCATCGCCTCTCTATTTGGGTCCTGAAAAACCTCAACCAAACCTTGACAATCTCTACCTCTGTTGGATCACTGGTGATGTGTGACTGAAACTAAATAAACTGAACTAGACTTAAAGCTACAGTGTGTAATAATTACAGGGATATACAGTCAGAAATGTAATATATTATACATAACTATGTTATTTATCATCATCTACGAGCTCAGCCTCTTAACCATAATATTTGCGTTGCCTTAGAATTCGTTATTTATAATTACATAGGAGCGGGTCTCGCAGCCATGGAGGCAGACATCTTTGCGCTACGGCAGGGCAGAGCCAACAAATTAGTGATTGCGAGATCGCCAAAATGTCACAACGATGTAGAAAAAAATAACGGGTATATTTATTATCTAAAGTCTACATGAAATCTATACCCTACACAGACTAATGAAATACTATCTGTAAAATTATCTATGTAAACAAACCTCATCACTTGAGAAGGTAGGTGATGCGGACGTCGTGGAAGACATTTTGTCCCGTAACGCTCGCCGTACTGTTGGGGGGGAGAAGCGGTGGGGGGGAGATGTTCATGTTGCTGCAGTCTGCAGTCTAACCGCTAGATGTCGCTAAAAGTTACACACTGTAGCTTTAATGGGTTCAATTTTCAAATTTCATTTGGAAATAAAAGTAGTCTTTTCTTTCATCAAAATTTTTTTCCACTATGCATCTGTCTAATGCATAAAATCCCATAAAAATACACTTAAGTTTTACATTAATATGAACTTGGGAAAAGATATTTGCTTCAACAATCAATTAAAACGATAAACGCTTGGATATGCCGCAATAATAAAAAGCATGCTTATTCAACTGCTCAAGGGTTTTAGTTGCTTTGCTAATATCAGACGTAAGGCGTGCTAAGTTCTTCACACATGCTTTCATTTGACACTACTTTTGACAGAGTTGAATTAGTTGTGAGGTGTTGCATAAATAAAGAGATATTTGATAAAAAAAGAAGCATCTAGGCAAGCTGTGACATGTTCTAAGAGAAAGAAATGCAGCCACAGTAAAACGCTGACATTATTTAGATTGGGTCCCTTTAAATGTTTAAATGCTAAAGAGCTCTAGTAGAGAACCTCTACGGTTTCATAACTCCAGAGCCTGCACACTTCTGTGTCCTCATATTCCTGCTTCTTCAAAGGAGGTTAGATAAACAGAGGAAGCGAGTCCTGTTTCAGACAATGACTTCAGCGTAGCGTCTCTCTGTGCACATGTGAAGGGATGTTGTGATGCCGAAACAATCAGGAGACAGCGTGGCGCAGAAGAATGCTGGCAAAGGTCCAGAGAGGTCTTGTCCCTTCGATTTCTTAGACGGCTAAAAATAGACGTTGTAGTTTAATTTCTGTCCTTTGACACCAGCTCAGTATCGTCATTGTTGGAGCTATTTATTTTTTTATATCTTTATCCATTTGAATTGTGTTAATTTTTAAATTATTTTCTTTATTTCATTTTTTTCTTTATTTTGTTCTGAGATAAGACAGAAAGTGTTGTGGATCAGTCCACTTTCTATAAGAGTAGGGGCCAGGGAAACGACCAGGGTTGGGTTCTGGGCCTATGATTTTTATCAGAGCAAGAGGTAGCAGAAAGGACAAAGCAAAGTGTGGACTCTGTACTTGCTGGCTGAAATGGGAAAATAAACCATCCAGAACAATCATCAAGTTTGGACATTAAAACTTATTTTGCCTGCGTACAGAAACTTGACCCCACTGCCTTAGTAGTGGCTTAATGGAACCTTTTTTGGATGTTTGGATTGGCAAACAATCGCCACTACAGTCATTATTAAGAGGTTTTCTTTTAAACTAGGCTCTGACAGGTTTGGTGATACTGTCATAACCTTGGTCAATACACAGAGGCAAGTCTCACTAAATAAAGAAGAAAGTAAGTATTTAGTCAGCCACTGTTTGGGAGAGTTCTCCTTCTTAAGCCCCTGTCACACCTTGACAATTTAGACCAGCGTAGGCCTGACGTACGAAAAATCAGGCAAAAATGCTGGCATACGTTGGAGAAGTTATGGCTACATTTTGTGTAGGTAATGAGCACGCTGAACCTGATTGTGTTGAAATTGATGAGAATGTAGAAATAACAAGAGGTGAGAGGGATGATGTTTATTTAGCTGCTGCTAGAATATGCTAATGCAGATGGAGAGCTATGTTAGAAAGAGCTCCAGTTTCTAACTGAGCCTATTAGCGGTTAGCATATGTGGGAGATGCTGAGTCATCAAGTCATCTCCATGTCATGTACCTGGTCTGCCCAACCACTGAACCAGGTGAGTCCAATCCGCACAATTACGTTAGCTTCTGCTAAAGGTGTTGGCTCTAGCTAATATAGCAAACAGCGGATCCAAGCCAATCACACCTGTTTGCTTCACAAAGGTTGCCTACCTTATGGCTTAACAAAGCCATGATGGCAATTATTTTACATCAAGTAGTATGCAGTTCTTCATATATACATACACACATCAATTTCAAACAGATGGTATCGGTATTGGCCAATACAGCACAGCCAGGTATTGGCATCTGGGCCAAAAAATGGCATACCGCTAATTCCCATTAAATGAAAAAAAGTTCAACACCAAAAAGAAAAGTGTAGTCCATTAACAGAAAACTCTAGAAAAATATGTGAAAAACAGCATGTATGTAGAAAATACAGACTGAACTTGCCAACCAGTGGCGCCACCAGGGGGCCACCCCACTGGCCAGTGCAAATTTTAGTAGCATCAGATTAGCATTTCATCCCATTATGTACAGCCAGTGATGCTAAATTGAAAATCACACAATAAACCAAGATACGGGGTGGTGTTTACTAAAGTCTTTATGATTTCTGCAGGCAGGTTTACCACAATACTACATTTAAACCCTGAAATTATGGCTTTTAGTTTCAGTGTGCCACCCCAAGATTTTTAGTGGCCCCCATCTGGTCACGCCTATGAAACATTTCTGAAGGTGCTACTGCTGTAAACGGGAAATAACGCCCTCTCCAAAAGATCCAGCTGCCCGTTAAAATCAAACATCCCAAACATGCTCCAAACTACCCCAAAAAAACAGCGGTCTAGGAGACTTTTTGCTTAAACAGACCTCTTTCTCTTTTAAAGAAAGATTGACAGCCGAGATAATAGCCAAATGTTGAGGTTATGCTTGGAAATGACATCTAAGCATATATATCGCAGATTGATGAGCAGCAGCAACTGCGTCCATAAGCTGAGTGATGGACCTAAATACTACACCTGTTGATCATCAGTCAAGTCTAAACCTTGCAGCCTCTTTGTGCTACTTCCTTTCCATTGAATCAGGAAAAGCTGAACTCTACGTGGAGCTTTAGTTTTTGGAAAGAATCATACATAATAATGCTTGCTGGTTACTTGACCCTTCCTGCTCCAGAAACACAGTTAAATGGTTTCCGATTGGTGAATAAATCAAACCTGAATGCTTGGTTGTTGGTGTGAGAGGAAAAGTCAATGCTAGAGATTTAAAAAGTTGGCAAATTGAAGGTTTTATTTTACTTTGTTTTAGCCCTCTAAAGTCAAATAGAGGCATAAATATGACGGAATATTGTTTCATTTGTTATAAATCGGAGGTCTTCAACAGGGGGTCCGGGACTGTTTTTTTATATTCCCCCCTGCAGTTTTTCCACCAATTGAAATGTCCTTAAATACACATTAACATGACTTCAACAATCTGTAGTAAACAGATAAATGGAGGCAGAAGATGTCTTTCAGTCATCAATCCACACATTCAGCGACACACAGGAGCTCTTTCAATCTGGGCACCGTTTCATTCACAACACCTGTCCCATCAACCAGGAATCAGAATCAGAAATACTTTAATAATCCCAGGGAGAAATTACTTTAGCTACATTACTCCATCTGTAATAGAGTGACAATAGGACCAGTTTGATATAATTTCATGCAATATATATAATTAGGGGGTCCCCGCTCCATCTCACCATCAGTTTGGGGTCCTTGGCCTGGAAAAACGTTAAAGACCCCTGTTATAAATCATTAGCTGTTTTCTGCACAGCGGAAGAAAGACCCATGCCTTCATTGCGACACCGTCTCTACATGTTTGGTTCCTGCCAGTTTTCATAGCGTTACGAGTTTCATAACAGCGCAGACCACGCTTCACTACTGGGCATAAATCAAAAATAACTGCATCATACCTGCGACAAGCTCATTGGTACACACTGCTGTGGGAGTATAACCAGCCCTTACCAACTCAAAGTCGTTAGCATAGAAACTTGTCCTGTTATCTATGATGGTATAGCATTATGCTGCATCAACATGTATTTACCTGATTCTAAACTAGGGCATCCATGATATCATCAGGTCCTGGTAATTAAAACTTCAGTGCTGCAGTCACTATATGCTTCAAAAGGCCTTTTCAGGTAACAATGTGTTGGAATCGGCTGCCTCTTTCTCTTCACGGCAGTTAGGGATTATATAACGACATGTTTTGCTCTGTATTTATGCTTTGATGAGTATCTTATGTTGACCTTACCCTTAGCACCTCTCTGCAGATGTAGGCAATCCAGTCCTCTTTCAGACAGTTTCCTTTGGTCTTTTTCACCAGGTCCGTCACCGAGCCGGCGCCACAGTACTCCATCACTAACTGCAGAGGCAAACAAATCGAGATCAGCTTTAACCATGTTATGTAAATTCAAAATATTGCAGACTCAACATGAACAAAGTGCTCAGAATGTGGGGTAGTTTGCAAACCCAGAGTTGGTGGTCCTGACCAGCAGGTCCTTTCTTAATGAAGGCACCATAATAAGTAGCAATGTTTCTGTGATGGGAATAACTTTTCAGCATATTTATCTCCAGTTTTATCTCCTCCTCTTCCTCCTAATGACAAAAACACAAAAAGCAAAAAAAGGCAAGGCCAGATTATTTATATTGCACATTTCAGTAGCGAGGCAAGTCACAATGGTGTACACACTGAAGTGTTACATAAAGGTAACACAAATAAATACAGAAAATAAGAAAATCAGAAAGATGATTATATCTAAAAAGATCAAATTAATGATAAAAAATGAAAATAAATTTTAACTGAAAACTTAACTAATGTTTAGAAATAACAGACTCAGACTCTTTATTTTTTAAATCTGGATTAAAAGTTAAGGATTTGGCATTTTTACGCCGTTCGAGGAGTTTAATCCAGATTACTAGAGCATAAAAACTACAAGATGCCTCTCTGGTCCAGCAGACCTGAGAAGTTTGGTTGTTGCTCCACCGACATCAAGTCTGTAATGTTTTATGGAGCTAATCTACTGATCTATAGATCAATAAGAGTATTTTATTCACTTTCTAATTTCTAGTAAGGAGGCAGGCAGCCGAATTCTGCTTGATCCAATTTTTTGGCAGACCTGTGGAAACACGGCTGCAGGGATCAGTTCTACTAAATACAAAAAGCAGGAAGTAGCTTTTCAATGTCCTGCTGAGACATTAGTCCTTTAATCACTGTTAATACAGCGACCCAAGTTTTTGAGTTTACTACCTTTTACGGCCTATTTTACTACCTCTGCAATATTTTTACTACCGATGCAAAATGTCTTGACTAAGACCTCCTGAAGCATGGAAAACCTTTGTCAGAGCCTGTCTATTGTTGTACAAGCCTTTGTTTTGGAAGAGTTCCCTGATGCGTCATTTGTGTTTTGCTAAAGTTTTTTTTGCATGTTTTCTAACCCAAAACAAAGCTTTGTTTTTGGTCCTCTCTATAAAGCCTCGAACTCAACCCTATTTCTGACATTTTGAATTGAAAAATCTTCCTGGATGGGAAAAGAAATGTCTTCAAACTTGGAAACCAAGTCCAGTGGGTAGTTTTTTTTTTTTTTTTACTTTTTTGGAATAATTATGACCTGGATGGCGGAGAATTTTCACCAGCTTAATGACCCAGCATTCAAAGATGGAAAAAACCCATCATTCTCCATGATGGGTTTTTTTAAAAACTTTTTTGGAATGCTTGGACATTTAGCATTATGAACCCAAATGTTAAAAGCGAACTTAAAAATTGTTCCAAAAAAGGAAAATTAAAAACTATCCACTGGACTTTGTTTCCAAGTTTTATTGAAAAAGTTTCTTGGATGGGAAGCGAAACGTCTTCAAACCTGGAAACAAAGTCCAATGGATTGTTCTTAATTTTCATTTTTTTAGAATGACTATGAACTGGATGACTGAGTCATAAAATCTCTGCTAACTCAAACATGTTAGACCAGTAACATGCTCCTGCTTTTCAGAGTTTACCCAACAATAAATTCAATAACTTAATGAGAAAATTCTGCATTAGATGATTAGTTGATAGGTGTGGTTAATGTAGCAACACCACGATAGAGGTTGCTTTTAGATTAAAGAGGAGAGTTTAATATTGCAATGCCGTGGATTGCTCAATGTTAAAACCTAAAAAAATTAAAGATTGTATAATGAAATCAATTCCATGCTAATTGCTAATACCTGATTGATAATATACTTGCTAAATTGAATGTTTGACTTATGTTCAAGAGGCTTTTTCCTAATTAAAAAAAACATTTGACTGTAGGAATCCACCTGATCAGAAGTTCAGTTTACAGAATAAGCCACTCCATTAAAATGTTAATGTTACTTTGACAAAAATATTAAGTGTACTTATTTGGATTTTTCTATTCAACTGAATCATCTGAGTTAATAAACTTATTGTTCTGCTCTAGGCAGAGGCAGTTGCATTTTCCTGCTGCTCCTGCATGTCCCTGCTCTGTCCCTGCTTTGTTGTGTCTTTTCTGAGCCCTCTCTTCATATCACCCACACCAAACAACTGAATCAGGTCAGCTGGTCTCTCAATGCATTTCCCTGTCTACCCAGGAAATGGGGACCTGTCTTGTCCTGTCGGGACATAATTCCTGGGATACACTCGAAACCCCAGGATTATGGATGCCCCCTTATCAAAACTCCCCTGTATGTTATAGCCGAAGGGCCCAGAACTGCCGACTCCTGCAACCCTTCCGCCCCACCAGCTAACACCTGTGGATGCGTTCAGAAATATAGCGCCAGTTGATTAACATCCATCTTATCAAGGACAATAGCCTCCGGACAGCGTTCATGGACAAATTGAACGCACTTACACGCGATGGGTAAAGACGATAGGAAAAAGTGAAAGAAAGTGTGGACTGCTGGAAGAAGCACGTTGAACTAGTGAAAAAGTGAAATGTTGTGCTCAAAGATGACCCTACACAATTTGAGTATATTTGCCTCAACCTGCTGCTGTGAAGCAGGATTCTCCACCATGAACAGAATCAACAATAAAGATCCTTGATATGTGCTTTAGAATGGCTTAGTCTCCATTCAAACCCAGGTTTAAAGCCTTGCAGGGCAGCATAAAGCCCACTGCCAACATTAAGACAGAAACAATAAAGAAAAAACAAACAAACGGTCAGTTACGGTTTTATAAAATATGTGAATCAGGAAATAGTCTATATACCAAACTGAACGATTGTTGTTCTCTAGTTCAAAAATCACTTTTTGATTTTAAAATAGAAGAATGTTCAAATTTTTTTTTACATCTTTTTATTTTAAAAGTCAATGTAAAAAATGGATACATAAAAAAATATATATATATATTACAGTGTTACATTCTGTTTAAAGTAACAAATTATAATTAAAAATGTCTCCAGACCTTTACTGGTGGTTGATTTTCTTTATTCGGACCCCAATGATTTTTAATTGGTGACCCCTGCTTTATAGCTTTAAAGGGAAAGTCAGATTATATACCAAGTCAAGTTCTGTTTGTTACCTTTAACAACAATTCAACAGCCTTTATTTGAGTTAATTCAATCTACTACCTTTTAGCACCATCTATAAACCCTGTTAATCCTGGGGATGTTATTCAGGTGAACCGACTTTGTTTCCGTCTTTATGAACCTCTGAAGGTTCAGGTCTGAGTCCATCACTACACCCAGATTTAGAGCCTGATTGCTGGTTTCTAGCTGGATTAATAGGAGCTCTGTGCAAACTTTGACACGCCCTTGGTCCAAAAATGATTTTGTCAACATTTGGTCCATCCATACATTGATATGTTCTCCTCATAGATATTCTCTATCCTAACAAACCTCTTAGCTGTTAGTTGGAGGGAGGGAGGATAAGATGGGTAATGAGAAGAGGGCGTTGAATAAATAGTAGCGGAGCTGGAGGAGTTGGACTTTTTTTGTTGTTTTAAAGTTCCTGTCTCAAAATAGATAAGGCAGAGTGGCAGCTTTTGTTGCTATCTGAACAAACCCCCAGTGACTGCATGTGAAAGTGTGAGTCTGTGTGTGTGATGACAGATAATAGACAGGCATTTCCACAGATTGTCTGTAGCTGAGTGGCAGAGAAATCCTCAAAAAGTCCACAGGAAAAGTCCCACTGGTCAGTGATGATGACAGCATGTATGTGGACTGAACTGTGCAAGTTCACACTTCCAATTTCTGCATCATGTCCTTAGTTCAGCACAAGGGCTGAGTATTGCCATGTGTGTTGCGACACCATTTGTCTCACTAAACTTGGGTCACAATTAGTGTATCGCCAATGCCATTTTTTGGCCCAGATACCCAACACCTGGCTGTGCAGTATTGGCCGATGCCGATACCATCTGTTTGAACTTGATGTGTGTGTATATATGAAGAACTGCGCACTACTTGATGTAAAATAATTGCCATCATGGCTTTGTCAAGCTGCTGCCTACCTTTAGGAAGCAGGAAAAAGACTAATACAAAGTGAATCCAGTAGAACTTTTTATTGCCTGTGGTTGATTTTTTATTGACAATGGTTGAATAAACTTTTGGCTCTCAAAATGGTTTTGGTGCCATATTTGTTGGTACTCACTGATACCAACATTTCAGTGCTGGATCGGGGCCCTACCCGATATTGGTATCTGTATCGGTGCAACACTAGTCATAATACCATATCACGATAATTCAATGTTAGTAAATATTGCTACATTTTAAGCAGCTATCAATATGAAATGTTTAGGTGCTGTATTTGTGCATGTTCATCATAATCCATGTTGTTTGGGGTTTCAGTCTGTCCATTTCTTCCACTGTGACTGACGCAACTACAAAAATGGTGCTGCGGCACACAGCAAAAGGGAAGATCGGTGTTATGTCAGGCAGCCGAAAATCACGATATAGCATCGAATCAATTTTATCCAGCACTAAACCCAACCAGGTATCAAAACGGAGATATTTTTTTCATTGTTTAAAGTCGCTGGGAAACGACTGTTCCAACTGTTGCATTTCCGAATTCTCCCGCGTGGTGCCCGACTTTATACGTGTGAAAAAAGTGAATGTGATTGGTCGTTTATTGTTGTGGTGGCAGGTTCGCAATCAAGTTTGGTTGTGGCCGGTGTGTCAGAAGCATCTTGCTAACCAGTTAGCAACTTAAAGCAAGTAGGTTCCCAATGGGAAATTACATTGGGACCAAGTAGCACTTAGCCACGACACTGTGAAGGAGAAAGCTTACAGCCGTACATGTTGGAGCCCTTGCCTCACAACGCTGCCAGTTCTGTTAGCTCTACGCCTGCTGAAGAGACAGATGTCCATCCCAGTAAACACTGGTAAAGTAAATGGTAAAGTAAATGATTCTTATTCCTAATTTCAACCGTTGCGTATGTTAGCTGCGACATATGAATCGCAGCTAACATACGATGTCACTAGGAATCCTGTTCGACAGCAACCTCTGGCCCAGTCGCCTCTTCGTGGTTTTCCACTACTGTTCACGGCGACTGCAGGTGGATGTTAGCATTCTTCACGTACGGAATCAAAACTGCAGGCACCCGCATAATAAAAGCAAACATATTTTGCCGACAGGTTTCGGCATTTTAAGTTAATTTAGGCGTTCATAAACTGTTTCAGAGGACTTTGCATGTAAACTAGCTGCTTCTGCTGCCTCTGCTGCTTTAAGTGTTAACGTAGCATCAGTCTAATCTCAGATTTTAAAAGGAGTTAAAATTTCATGAAATCTTAAACATCTATTTGATATTGACAAACCAAGACCACCATTTCCAGTCTGTCTTGCTGTAAAACTGTTTTTATAAAGCTAACTGGTGGCTACTGTGAGCTGCTCTCTGCGGGAAAGGTAACCTGCCCTGCTCAGGTAAATGGAGACGGTAAAACGGCTCTGATAATAAACGTAGAGCGTCTAAGCCAAAACCAGAACCAGATGATCTAATAGGATCAATTCATGACCTTCCAGATGCTCAATGTCCGCTGGACTCCACTGGAAAAAATGTAAATGTAGGTAAGTCATTTGTTGTTAAAATAAGTGCATTTGTTCTTGAATTGAGGAGATAAAAGAGACATTTTGCCAATGGAACAAGACAATTTAGATGTAAAATAAGAAAACACAATTGCATTGTCTTATTTCAATTGCATATTATTCAATTATCTTCTTTTAAGAGCAAATATACTCATTCCATTGGCAAATTATCTCATTTACCTATTCAAATTAAGGGTAAATACACTTAACTTAAGGAATGTTTACTTATTTGTAGATCGTTTTTGCAGTGCCCACATGAAGTTATTACTGATCTAAATCATTTCACTTTTATTAACTTATCTAACGATAAGTCTGCAAAAATACAAAGATAGGCCATCTTAAAGCTGTGAAAATATCTTATTACAGGTCAAGTTGTGTCAAACTTTAATGGGAGAGAAAAACAGCTTTTCTAACAGCTGTTTGGTTTAAAACACTAGTTAGAGAAAAAAGCTTCAGTCTCACAGGTGAGAGTCCTCTAAAGCTGCTGCATTATGCTTTCAAGAAGAAACACTTAAGCAAACCTAGAGAAAAAAAAACATACTTATTCCACATAAAGCCAGAAGTTTATCAAAGCTTTCAACATGACGACGTGTGATGAAGGTGTAGCTGATAATCTAGTTCCAACGTATGAGCTCCCTCAAACCCCCGGATACAGCTTTTATTTGAGGTTTTTCTATCCTCAAATTGATTTACTCTACAGTAAGTTATTAATATTTCATAATACCAAAACAACAACATGGCACTGTGGCTTTTAAACTCTAAAGTGAACAGAGATTTAATATCGCAGAGATCTAATAAAAAACTACTTCTGTGTGGGGAAAAAAAAGATACATGAGGAGAGGAGGAGGGAGAGGATTGGTTTTTTGTAATTTGATTTAGTCCAGTAAAGTGCTATATGAAAGAACGTTCCGGTTTGATCTGTGTTGTATGTGCGCACTCTGACAGGAGAGTTATGAGAGGCTCCCGAGTGGATTGTTAAGAGTTCAGACCGCTTCAATGACCTAAGCGTACCGTAAGAGGACTCAAAGAGTGGGAAAGCAGAGGAGAACACGACTGTTTGGAGACATTAGGAGGAGGTTTACTGGACTCTTGGTTCTGGCCTCCCATTTGGGTCATTTGGGGGTACAGCTAAGGGCTGGTTATCCTCCCGCAGCAGTGTGTCGCACTGAGCTTGTCGCAGGTATTTTTGATTTATGCCCAATATTGAAGCATGGTCTGCGATATATTATTCCACGCCACAACACAAAAGGGACAATCAGGAACTAGCTGTGGGTCTGGATACGGCCGAGGCGGTGAGGAAGTGGAAAAATGCAAAGGGCTAGTTTGTCTGACAACCAGAGCATGTGATTGGAGCGTGGAGCAGAGTGGAAGAAATATGGTGGAGCGCAAAGCGGTTTTCAATTCAAAGGCCGGAGCGAGGATTTTGCTCCGCACCAGTTCACTCAGGTGCGCTCACAACGTCAATTAAAAATGTTGGATTATAACATTTGTATAAAATCATTTATTAAAATATACACTAACTATACTTTAACAGTATGGAGAGGGTTTACATAAAGTGATGGTTGTGGTAAGAGGCTGTTTTTGAAAATGGATCGCATACATGCATTAAACGCTATTATCTCATTTGCAATGGGATGCGAAGTGTCCTTTTTTAATGTAGTCTAGAAACAGTGGGATAATTTAACAGCCAGATAAATAAGACAATAAACATGAATCGGTCACATCATTAAATCAAACGCCGTGTGTCCCAGGGCCCTGGCATCATTACATGATGGAAAAATGTCAGAAAATGCCTTCTCCTGAAAATTTGAGCCAGCTTGTAGCGATTTTGCTGGAGCGGTAAGGAAATTAAGGTAAGCGGAGCAGATTTTGAGTGGAGCGTCCTGGCGCAACTTTGAGTGGCGGAGCGAATGAGCAAACATCCTCCTGAGAGGGGAGCGGGAATTGCGCTCCGCTCCACTCACATGCTCTGGCGACAACGGAGGGACATGACGGGGAAGAAGAGCGGGGATCCAGGTGGAAAAAGGATCCCAGCGTTCTTGTGCACCTCGCTCTTCTAGCTGGTTCATCTTCACGAGTCGTTTTCAACAATGGCGGTCATACAAACAAAACAAGCCAGTAAGGTACCAAACAGGAAATGTGAATAGTGTAGAGCGGATGAAGATTTGATCAATCCTGTCTGCAGTCAGCTACAATTTTGGAGAGGTGCAGCAGAGTGTCTGCGGAAGGGGTGGGGATATATCTGTGTTATAGCGAAGCGGCTGTTCCAACCGTTGCATTTCCGAATTCCCCCGATTGGTGCAAGACTTTACAAGACTGAATAGAGTGAATGTGATTGGTCGTTTATCAAGGGGGCGGGATTGTTGAAGCAGAAGGTTCCCAAGCATTTTGGTTGTAGACGGTTTATCTGAAGCATCTCGCTAACCAGTTAGCAACTTAGTGCTAGTAGGTTCCCAATGGGAAATTCCATTGGGACCAAGTAGCACTAAATTGGTGACTTAGAAACGACACTGTCAAGGAACGCTATGGACAGAGGAAACATGGAAGAGGAGGAGAGTTTAGTGTCGGAGGTTGTAGATGAGTCTCCTCCATCATACATTTTTTATTTAGAGGAGGAAAGCGGGGATGAAGATGTTGTGGAAGAGGACGCCAGGGCGGCAGAAGCTTGGTTTGTTGTAGAAGGCTTCCAGCCGTACATGTTTGAGCCCTTGCCTCGCAACGCTGCCAGTTCTGTTAGCTCTACGCCTGCTGAAGACGCAGAGTCCATCCCCGTGAACACTGGGACGGAACTCAATGGGAAAGGAAAGGATTCTCATTTCAACCGTTACATATATTAGCTGCGACATATGAATCAAGATGCTATGACCGAAAAATCTGATTGACAGATGACCGGATTGGTTAAATTTAGGTATTCAGGCTGACGTAACTAACGGGCCTGCAAAATAAAAAAAATAAAAAAAACAGATTTTAAGACAAGATTATTTTTCTAAATCAAAATTTTCTAAATTTTTGGACAATATCATCCAATAAATATTACATTTATATACATGTTTAAGACAATGATTTGACATTTAAATATGATTTCCCTACGACTTTTAAAAAGTCTGATGAAAAAAATTGGAAAAGAAAATAGTTTTCATAAAATATAATCTGAGCAGTCAAAAAAGTTATACCAAAATTTTTTTATTTTTTTTTTAATTAAGAATTTTTACAAAGTTTTATTTCTGGATTATTTCTGGATTGCATTTTTTTTTCATTTACAAAACATGTTCTTTGCTTGCAACAATAATGGAGCAGAATTCACTCCATAAGTTTGGTCCTATTGTAAACCACATTGCCTGACAGCTGGTAGGAGGTTTTTGCTCCGTAAAAACGGACAATCTAGTTGTTTTAGATCTAAACCTTCCTGTTATGCATCTGGGTGCAGAAAAGTTTAGAAAGCCAGATCCAGATTGGCCTCATTCCTGTTGATCAGGGATAATAAAGACTAAACATTTGAACGCTCTGATAGTGCAAAGATAAGAAGAGGATCTGCTGGAAAAGCCTTTACCTCGGTGACCTCCATGACTTTGATAGCTGCCAGTTGACCAGTCTTGACATGGCGACCCTGGTGGAAACAAAGAAACAGCTAAAGTCACAACCAGTTTTTAACAACATGAGCATCAGACATTGATTATATCAAACAGGGACTCGTTCTCTAGCACGAAGCCAGACATTACACCATCGTTTGACAGAGCAAACGGTCTGTGATGTAATCCTTCATCCACCGAGCCGTCTCCTAATTTCATTTTCTCTTGAGATCCAGTCAGAAAGAAAGAGAAATGACACAACATGAGAGCGAAAAACATGGGGAAAAAGCAGGGAAAGGGTCAGCGAAGTGGACCAGATGGGCAGTCAGGTGAAAAAGGAGAAAGTGAAACCGTGATGAGTCAGAACAGCTGCTCTATGCACCCAAAAGTCTGTCAGGTCAACAGAAATAACTAGCTAGTAAGGTTGGATCAAACCAAGGCCGTTTCTTAAGTCTGGGCTTGGGAAGAACGGGAGCATACAGCATAGATATGGGTCAATTGGAACAGAAGCGTACTGATAAAATCACGACATCTTCTGCTCGTCTGGAGCTGCATTTCACCTCCTGTTATTAATAGTCTCTAGATAATAATAAATTCCGACTTTTTCATTTAGTGGGGGAATAATAATGAACACAGTCAGATAAACACAATTCAAATTAATATTTAGCCAAGCAAAATAAAAATATTGCCATCATAGCCAGCGGTCCTTCACACACGGCTATGCAAAGAGAGGGCTGCTGCAGACGGGCTGCAGTTAGCCCTGGCTCCACTGGTTGCCGCGGTCCTCTCAACATCGGAACTTTTTTTTAAATTACGCATTAAATTGGTAAATGGACCATATAGTGATGTTTAAAAGTATAATATTCTTGCCTCAAATTATGTTAAAATGTACTTTTATTGAGCAACAGAAACAGAAAAGAGAACTTTTAACGGACAAGTCTGCTCTGATGCATGCTGGGTAAAGAGGGAGGGGTGAGAACAACATCCGGGGACTTTGTCCATTCTCTGTCTTCTTGTTCTTGTGAATTGGAACAGTGCTAGGGCTGAGGATGATGACGTTTCACGAGCACATGAGGACATGAGAACGCACAAGTACACATATTGAGAAACGGCCCAATATTTCTGAGATTTTATGCGATACTCCAAGTTGTGCAAATAAAAAAAGGTGGTCTAAACTCTTTTTCATATAAAAATGTCACTCTGTGTAGCATGCATTTTTACTGCGTTAATTTACTCTTGATGGACCTGAATGAAAACTGCTTCCTGTCGCCATCAGAACAGCAGTTCCTATCAGATTTTTAGCTAGCAATGCATATGGGCATATGGGATATATGCATATATCCTTTACTAAAAATATTAGGAATTGTACTACCTGTTTTTGGGATGTACAGCATTTTTATGCTCTAATTTTCCCCTGGAAAGTTTGCTCAAATGTTAAAAATTTCACAAGCATCAGATGTTGGAGTTGGAAAATTTCATTTTTACTGCTTGACGCGTCACATCAACCAATCAGAGACGCTGATCTGGGAGCTGGCAGGGAGACAGACACAGGAAACCGTTTATTAATGCCTAAATTAACTTAAAATGTCAAAAGCTGCCGGCAAAATATTTTCACTTTTATTATCCTGATGCCTGCAGTTTGGACCACATACCTAGAAAAACGCTAACATCTACTTCCGGTTGCCACCAACAGTAGAGGAAAACCCCTGACCTGAGGAAGCTACTGGAATTCAAGTGACAGAGCACTGTCGGTATGTGGGGGTCTGATCAGCTCCAAAAATTAAATATTTTAAAATAGGATCATAATCTTTATGAACTGACTGCACAGACAAGGTTTTAAGGTGGACTTTCTCAATCAAAAACCTATTAAAATTACTTTTTACCCACTGATCAGAGCAAATATAGCAAAGCCGCTCTCTGGCATAGAACACAGAAGAATCTGGACACACTTTACTGGACGTCAAAGATGATCATGATGTGCATCTTACCTTAATGTGTACAAGCATCAAAAATGAAGCAGAAGCTTTTTTTGCTGCTGAAATCGTGGTGTGAAAGTATCATTACACTATCTGATTGTTTGAATTAACCTAAGAAACATAATATTGTACCTGAAAATGATCTCATGTCTTCCTTATGAAATTTCCACCTCTAGTCAAGCACTCATACTTCCCATAGTCAGCACAAAAGAAGAGCAAAAAGTTAGCTGCATTCACAGCCATCATAGCGATTCGATTCAGTATCAATTTCCTGACCCAACAATCCGATTATTTTCGATACTCCAGAATACACCATCTTCTTTTTCCCCGACCATGTCTGTCTTGCCTTCTGTTTATGCGAGTGTGTGTGTGCAAGCGGAAAGAGGGTAGTGGCTAAAAGAACGAGGTAGGAGGGCAAAATAGGTTTAGCGCCACCGCAGCATGGGAGTCAGAATTACATCCAGGAGCAAGTGGATAAAATAGACTGGAGGAAAAAAAAAACTGAATCGATACTCTTTTGGATGAGTCGATGCATCGGATCGTCAGTTCTTGGATCGATGCATCGATACAAAATGAATATTATTGACACCCCTTCTGTATTCCACCTCAAAAAGCAGGAAATAGCATTTCAGAGTCTAAATTTCAACATTTTAAAGGGGAGGATACCCCAGACCTCCCTACGCCACATAAAGCCTAAAGATGTGATAAACCAAGGTGTACACCCTATGAAATATTTCCCATTACAATCACAGTATAGAACTCTTCTGTGAAGGCCTGAAAAGTTTCATTAAGGGATATAAACAAATAATCAACTTATGAATAATTTTTATTAATGTTTTTTTTTAAGTTTAATTGTTAATTAATAATTAATAACATCCAACGATTGAATAACATTTATAGGATCAATCAAATTTAAATTCAACTAAAGCCACAAGTGGCATTGGGCGGCCCTCGCAGCTCGCACCGCCTGGTATGTTGCGACCGCGGGAACCAAGCGACCTCCAGCTCCACGCTCCTTCCCAGCCTATGCTCCTGCTCTTCAGCCTATGCCTGCTGCTGCTTCTCATCATCCTCCCCCTCCTTCTCGTTCTGCTGCTGCCACTGTTTCTCATCCTCCTCCTCCTGCAGCTTGTCCTCATCTTCCTCATCCTCCTGCTAATGCAGCTTCTCCTCATCATCCTCCTGCTTCTGCTTATCTTGCTGTGTCTCCTTCTCCTCCTCCTGCTGTCGCTCTTGCTGCATCTCCTTCTCCTCATCCTGCTGTCGCTCTTGCTGCATCTCCTTCTCCTCATCCTGCTGCTGCTTTTTCTCTTCCTCCCCTGCCTGCTGCTGCTTCTCCTGATCCTCTTCATCCTCCTTATCCTGCTTCATTTAATCCTCCTCCATTCTCCTTCTGCTGTATCTCATCCTAATCATCCTCCTCCCCCTGTGCTCCTTCTCTTCATATTCTTCTTCCTGCTGCTGCTCTCACTGCATCTCCTACTGTTGTTTGTTTCTCATCCTCATCATCCTTCTCCTCCTAAAAGCATGGCTTTGTATGACTGGAGTTAACAGTTTGATGCTTAGCCACGCCCACATGCTCCCATGTAGAATAATAATTTTGATAACTTTCAATTTGCTATGACTGTAGTCCATGTAAAGTTAATTTGAAGTCTCAACCTAAAAAAAACCAAGAGCCCTTCACTCATATATGTCATGACCTAAAAAAAGAAAATGGTATCTTTGATCCAAAATGGCCCATTTCTTGTTGGTTGTGGACCAACACTTCGATTTCACAACAGGGTAAAATGTAATTCAAAATGGCCGACTCTACTCAAAGCAAAAAAAATTATAAAAAATTCATAGTTTGCAATAAAATCCCGAAAAAAATCACAAATGTCAAGGAACACATCTTGCATGTCCTAGATTTTTTTTAGATGATTTATTAACTAATTTAAAGAAAGAAAAATCTTTAAACGTGAATGCCTTATACTGCAGCAGTTGAAAACCCCATAAGATGCTCAAACATTCATAGATTCACGCCAAACTTGGCAGTCTTTTCTATAATCAAATGATAAATAACTGTTCCAAATTTGGCTAGGATTGCTATAAAACTTTTTGAGATACAACAATTTCCTGCTAACACAAACTTTTGAAAAATCAGAGTGACAGACTTTAAAGAAGCGCTTTGCTATTGTAACCAGCTTACAGCAGGCTTTGTAAAGAACGTATTTTGAACGTATTAGCTCATTTGGATAAAAGGCTGATTTTATACAATTTTTTGAAAAAAGGTCCGTGATTTCACAACAGGGTGAAATGTAATTCAAAATGGCCGACTCTACTCAAAACAAAAAAAATCATTAAAAATCCATAGTTTGCAATAAAATCACGAAAAAAATCACAAATGTCAAGAAACACATCTTGCATGTCCTAGATTTTTTTTAGATGATTTATTAAATAATTTAAAGAAAGAAAAATCTTTAAACTTGAATGCCATATACTGCGGCAGTTGATAACCCCATAAGATGCTCAAACATCCATAGATTCACGCCAAACTTGGCAGTCTTTTCTATAATCAAAGGATAAATAACCGTTCCAAATTTGGCTAGGATTGCTATAAAACTTTTTGAGATACAACAATTTACTGTTAACACAAACTTTTGAAAAATCAGAGTGACGGACTTTTAAGAAGAGCTATGCTGTGTTTACCATCAAACAAGTAGCGATTAGAGGAATATATTCCAAAAGTCCTAGCTCTTTTGGGAAAACGACTGATTTTTTTAGAAATATTTTGACATAGTGATTCTATTTTCATAAGGGTGCCGTTTGATTCAAAATGGCCGACTTCATGAGAGGTTTAGACCATGGCTCCAATGAAACTTTTTGTAGGTAGAGAGCTCATACAGATGTGTGCCAAGTTTCATTATCCTAGGAACAAGCATGGCTAGGGGCTGAATTATTTCCTGGCATTATCTGTCCACTTGACCAACTATTAGGCGAGAACGCAAACTTTTGAAAAATCAGAGTGACGGACTTTAAAGAAGCGCTTTGCTATTGTAACCAGCTTACAGCAGGCTTTGTAA